ACACATGGCAAGTTTCCTCCCTTGACGAGAAGTCCACTGCCTCCCTCCCGCCGCCCCATATACACCTTGCATCTTCTCCAGGAGCCAAAAATGCAGCTGCAGATTGATTTGCAGCTGAGCTAAAAATAACTGCCAGGCTCCAGCCAGGGCCCAGGAAAATATCCCATTGCTAGGAGACGTTACTGGGAAACCGCCATTGCTAGGCAACAGGGTTGCCTTGGTGACAGCTGGGCCCTGAGTCATCCTCAGCCCTGGCCACTCCACCCCCTGCACCCCCTCCCCTGCCTTGGTGAGTCGGGCCTGGGTCCCAGGAGGAGGGAAGGCAGGGAGCAGAAAGAAGCTGGAGGCAGCACAGGCCTGCCACCCACCGCCCCCGCCTCCCACAGTTGCTGGGCCACCCCACGCTGCGAGGCTCTCACTTCCCTGGGCTCCCATCAGGCTTCAGAGTGCTGAGGACTGCCAAACACACCTGTGGCCTCCCCACGCCACGTAGTCCCCCCGCAGGCCCTCTTGGGGGCCCTGCCTCTGGGTGGGGAGCAGGGGCAGTGGGGGCACAGTGTTCATCCTCCCTGTGGGTCCAGGGCAGCCTGACCTCTGGGGAGCATGGGGCTGTCCCCACCCGTGCTACACCAGGATCTCCAGGGCGACCCCTTGGGCCCCAGACTCACTTTCCAAGAGGGGACCTGCTTGTCTGAGGCCCCACCCCGGGAGGGCGGACTTGAGCCCAGGTTTGTGATCCTGGAGCACACACCTCACCCCAAGGAAAGGCCTGAGGAAGGAACCCCGTGAGGAGGTCAGGCCTGCAGAGCTGCGAGGTAAGCAGCTCCGCTCCCCGAGGTGACTGTGGCTCCCTCTCTCATACCCGCAGGTTCTCAGGGCACAGTGCGCCAATGGCCTTTCGTCCTCACCCCCTCATGCTCCAGAGCTGGAGACCCCCAGCTGCCTGGGCTAGGGAGACTCCTCTGTGCCCAGCCATCAAGATGAGGGGAGCTCCAGTGGGGGGTGTTTTAGGTGATGTGATCAGGTGAGGGGAGCCCCAGAGGAGGGCAGAGCCTGCTCTCTGCCTGGGCCCTGGCACCTGCTGAGGGGCAAGAGCCCCGCAAAGTGCAAAGTGAAGGCCTGCCTCCCAGTCAGGCCACTGCACACCAGGGTCGGGTCCGGGCTGCCTCACCGCCCCCTGCCCAGCCGGGGCTGAGCCCAGGTGGAGATAATGGGCTGGGTCAGACAGCACTCCCCAGTCACCTCAGGTCTTCACGCACCCCCACCCACCCTGCCAAGCCGCCTCCTTCGGTCAGGGTCAGCAGGACGGGGGGCGCCAGTCTCCACCACACACAGAGCTCTCTTCACCCCGCCAGCACCCCACACAGCTGCCTGAGCGGGCCAGCCTGCCCTCTCCCGCTGCCCCGCCTCACACCAGCCCCGCTGGGTCTGCTTCCTGTCAAAACGTTGCCGACAACAGCCGGTTTCATTTTCTATTAAGGCTCTCAGAGGGTTCCCTCTCCGCCCTGGGGCTCTTTCCCTGGTGCAAAGACCCCACTTTGCTCTCCCCACACCTGGTCCCTCTGCTGTCTCCCAGGAGGTCCCGAGGTGGACAGCATGAGCCTCGGTCCTTTACCCCGAGCCTGCCGGGAGGCCTGGCATTCCCAGGGGCCCAGACAGCCTTCCGCATCCTCCCGCCCCGCCCCGTCCCACCCTCTCTCCAGGCCCATCCCAGAGGGAACGAGCCTCAGGACCTTTGCACACCCTTTCCTAAACACCTTCCTTTGCCCTCTCTCCCTTGGGGGACTCAGTATGGTGTCCTGTCCTCAGGAGCCCCACCACCACCGTCCTCGGAGGTCTCCATCACGTGGCCCTCTTGAACCTCCATCACGCTCGTCCCTCTCCGAAATGATCTACTGGTCAGTTGTTACTCTGCTCTGCGGGTACGCAACTGTGCCCCCCGCTGAGGGAGGTTCCGGGGCCTGGTACCCACAGGTGAGCGGAGGATGTGACGGCCGGGCGGTGAAGGGGGCTCGGCCGTCCGCTCCGCAAGAGGGGCAGGGAGGGGAAGGGTCGGACCGCTGGCGCCCAAAGGCTCGATCCTCTGGGCCCCGCTGGATTCGAGGTCCCCGTCGCTCCTCCGAGGCAGGGTTCGCTCCAGCCTGGCTCTGCGTTCGCGGGCCTGGACCTTCCTTCGCCTCCCTCCTGCCCTCACCGGCCCTCCTCTCCGCTCCCCGCCCCGCCGCGCGCCGGGTTTGTTATTGTGCGGGCGCCCGTGGCAAGGGGGAGCGGGAGCGCGTGCCGGGCCGGCGCATGCCCGTGGGCGCCGGGGCGGGAGCGCGCTGTGCGCGCGGGAGGGCGCGGCGCGGCGGGGCGGGGCGGGGCTCGGCATCCTCAGCGCCCCAGCCCGGGCTCGCCAGCCCGGATTGGCTACCGGCGCCGGGAGCGCGCGAGGGAGCGGCGCGTAAGGCCGGGCGGGGGGCGCGCGCGGCGCCGCCGGCGGCCGCGGAGGAGCGCGGGGAGGAGGGCGGAGGAGGAGCGCGGGGAGGAGGGCGAGGGGAGGGAGGAGGCGCCCGCCCGGCTCCCTGCAAAGCGGCCTTATTTATCTGGGCACAGCCATAGCCTCCCCGGTGGGAGGCTCGGGGCGGCTGATCCTCTCCCACCGGGGAGCTCCTCTCGGGGCGCAGCGGAGGGGCCCGGCCAGGCCGGACGCGGGGCGCGGGGCGCGGCCGGGCCCTGCCGGCCAGGCCAGCACCTCGGTCGCCTCCCCGCTTCGCCGGTGCCCATGCCGGGCTCCTCATGACGGGAGGACGCCCGGTGGACAGCGTGGCATGAGCCAGGAGCCCGGGCCGAGGTAAGGTGTGTGCCGGGCCAGGCTAGAAGGCGGGGAGGGGGCAGGCCACAACACCGCGAAGGCCACAATGAGCAGGAGGCGGGGAGGGGGCTTGGGACAGCGCCGCCACCCCCCCGCCCCCCGGGGCTTACGTAACCGCAGCCCCTTCCCTGGCGGCTGCAGCTGGGCCTCCAGCCCTGCCGGGCCTCCCCCCAGCCCTTCACCCCAGTGGCTGCCTGGTTGAGGCCGGATCCCCATGGCAACTGGACCAAGGCTGTGGGTCGGTGCCACCGCGCTGTTCCCCCGTGGACGCCGAATTACAGGCCTCCAGCTGGGCTGCCTGGGTGAGGTCCCGGACCCCACAGCACTCGGGACTACTCAGCCCAGCACCGTGAGCCCCTGGGCCTGGAGACAGGTGTTAGATACAGTTACACTCCAGGAGGAGCTTGTGAACGCGAGGCCGGTGGCTGACCTGCCCGTGGACACCTGAGCCCGGCCCTGCACGGAGCTGCCACAGTGGGAGGTCGAGAGGAAGGGAGGGCGCTGGCCACGTGTGCTCTGGAGGAGGGGCCGGGCGCTAGCCAAGGCTGGAGGGCCCCAGAAGCAGAGCTGGGCACCCTGAGACTTGCTGGAGGAGGGTCTGTCCTTCTGGGGGTTTGAGTGGGTCGAGGAGTCCCCCACCCATGACCCAAGGAGAGAAGGTCTGGCTGTTGGAGCTTCCAAGAGTCTGCAGCCTGGCGGCTGCTCCTTCACCCCTCCCAGCCTCTGCAGGGGAGGCCTTCCCTCCATGGACAGGGCCCATGGACCAGGGTCAGCCCAGGCCCCCCTGGTGCCGGGTAGAGCCTGGGGCCCTTTCTGCCCACAGATGCCTTCGAAGGATACCGGACAGCAGCCTTGGGGCAGGAGGCCTGGCGGGTTGGGAGCCTGAGAGGTTTGGGCTCCCCGAGGGCGACTCACTGGCTCCACAGGAGATGGCCCTGGGGCTGGCCGAGGCTGTCTGGGGAGGAGGGGGATTCAAGGCCCAGTCCCAAACACGCAGAGCAGGGAGGCCATGCAGGCTCCAGGGGACCCCAGGACTCACCTAGCCCAGTGCCTGCTGCCTCCGTGGCCTGGCTCCCCCTCACCAGGGGCCTGGGGGCATCTGCCTCCCCTTGCTGTGAGCCAGGCCTACGGGCAGCTCTGACGCTGCAGGGGTTCACGGGGCCGATGCCGCCCTCCAGCTCACACCCACTTTCAGGGCACTTGCACAAATCCTGTCACCCACTGGTCAGAAGGAAACAAGTGGCTGGAGGTCAGAGCACCCAGACACTCAGGCCAGCTGGGCCCAGCCTCGAGAAGGGCTGTGCTGCGGGGACCAGGGAGACCTCTTGCCTGGAGGCTGGGGAAGGGGTTCCTGGGCTGGCACTGTGAGCTGTCTGCAGCCCCCGTCTCATCACACGTGGGAGCTGCTGCTGTGTCTGAGGGCTGGCTTGAGGGACAAGCGGAGGTGGCAGCGAAGTGGGTGGCCCAGAACCTCCCCACCCAGTGGCCCATGGGAGCCTCAGTCAGACCCATTGCAGTGGGTGGGCTTGGACACGTGCATCTCCTGGGCAGTGTTTGAGGCACTGGATGCCCCAGGCCCTGGAGGGCGTGGAGCAGAGAGGCCTGGAGCCTGGCACGTACTCCTGGTGGCACCCAGTCCCATGTGGCTGAGCTGCCCTGAGCTTGGCCACAGGACGTGCTCTGCTGGAGCACCAACTCGGCTCTCTCTTGAGCCCCACATGCTGCCTTTCCAGAGCCCCAGGCGCTCGGGTGGGGCAACCCACACCCCCAAGCATCTCCGAGCTGGGGGCGGGAGGGGAGCGCTGCTGCTAGGATGTGTGCAACGTGGTAGGGATGTGAGCGTGCCTGAGTCACAGAGCTTTGTCACGGAATTTGTCAGCCTGCGCCGTGTCCCCAACCCCAAGCTACCCCGGTCGTCACCCCAGCCCCTGGGCTGCCGCTGCAGGTTGATCTGATATGAGCTTTTCTGGCTACCCGTGCCCTGTCCAGCTCGATGGCCCTCAGCCAGTAGGGGGAACTGGTCAGTGCAGGTTCTACTGTTTTAGATGGGGTATCAGGGATGAGTAAAGAGACCTCTGAGCTGAGGACCGTGACAGGTGGGTATGAGCACTCTTCCTGGGTATGAGCAGTCCCAAAGATGAGTGTCTCAGTGGTCGACGCGCAGCTTGCAGCCTCTGGAAGGAGAGCAGGGGCATGACAGGGGGCACACTGGGAGAGGCCCCCGGCCCAGGGCTCCAGGCTGGGAGAGCATAGGGACTGAAGCAGAACAGAGCAGAGAAAGGAGGCAGCAGCAGCAGGCGGGAGCAGGCAGGGTGGGTGGGTGGGGGCTCAGGGTTGCACTCTGGAAAGCCATGCCTGGCCTGAGTCTTGGGAGTCAGACAGCTGGAGGACTTGGGGTCAAATCCTAGCTTTGTGCAACTTCTGAAAATGTACTCTGAAACTTGCTGTCCCGGCTTGTGGTTGGGCAGTGTGTGATGGGCTGAGACCAGCAGTGCAGCGGGGGGATGTGGTGCTGGGAAGCTTCCCTCCCTTCTAATGCTTCCTGTTCCCTCCCCCCTGGTCTGGCCTGACCATGGGGAACAGGCAACCAGCACCCTCAACCCTGCAGCCCTCAAGGGGGGGACTTGGACAAAAAGGAGACACAAGCCATCCCCTTCCCAAAGGTCTGAGTAAAGGCACAGCCCGCCCCAAGCCCCAGGGTCTTGGGAGCCTTCCCAGAGACCCTGGCATCACTCTCTCACTCCCCCATGGACACCGGCCCGTGTCACAACCCGGACTGAGGAGCTGGGCCCCAGCCCTTCCGTCGACTGCCCTCCGTCCTGCCTCCGGGGAAACTGCACCCCTTTCTACATGACCCTGATCATTGGACTGGCATTCTTCATTCATTCAGCCATTCAGCCGTCATGCTGTCTGTCCTCAGGAGAGACAGACAGGTAGACAGTGATGATAGTCCACGTCATGGCGGACATCTGGAGATGCTTTCAGGCCAGGGGTCGCATGGGGAGAGGCAGGGCGGTGCTCACACTGAAGGATAGAACAGGAGGAGCTTGCGGGGTTAAGGATCCTGGAGGCCTCCTGAGCAAGCAGGGGACCAGCATGTGCCCGGGCAGAGGGATAGGGGAGTACAGGACAGCAGGTCTGGCTGAACTGTAGGGTCAGGTCTGGAAAGGGGCTGGAAGTGAGGCTCTAAGGTGGACTTGCTGGGTCTCGGGGCCTAGTGACTTCATCTGTAGAAGAGGCAGCTCCTCAGGAAGCCCCAGTGTGGCCATCTCCAGACCTGGAAGCCACCAAGGTCTGGAGTCCTCACAGGACTCACGGTGCTCCCCAGGTGCCCTCTGGCCCCCACGGTTCCCGTGAGTCTGCTGGGGAAGCAGAGGCCTGGTTTGCTCTCCCTGATTCACCTCTGGCTCAGCTGGTGAAGACAAGAAGCTAAACTAGTGACCACCTCCCTCCTCCTGTGGTGAACCAGGAGCCTGGAGCCCCTGCAGCCATCACAGGAGAAGCCCTCCCCCAGAATCCCACCCCTCATGGAGACACGGCACACCAGGGGCTGAGACTGAGAATAGTGCGAGCCTGACCGTCTTATTTTAAAAGCCTCTTTCCCTGCGCGTTAGCTGCTGGTGCTTCTCCCTAAAGGGGAGTAGTCCCCAGTGGACTGGCTGCCCCTGCCCCGTCCTGACAGGAAGACCAGGTGGGTCCTCCTGGACACACTGGGTGCAGTGGGGGCAGGTGCCAGGAAGGCGGAGGCTCTGCAACCGTCTGCTGGGTCAGGGGGTCAGAGCCAGGCTGAGGGGCCTCTTGCCTCACCGGCAGGAAGACCCATTTCTGATTTGAGCATTGTCCCAAAGCCCTGACCCCTGCGCTAAGGTGTGGCTGTTTCCAGTTTTGAGCTGAAGATCCAGGGCTCAGACTAAGTCAGCGAGGCTGGAGTGTGAAGAACCGCTGGAGTGCAAGACTGTGGACAAGGTCGGGGAGCAGCAGGCCTGCCTCTGGGAAGGGTGCTCAAACCCAGAACGTAGGGGGCGGGGAGGCTAACCGACAGGCTGGCCAGGGGCTGTGGAAAGAGGGGCGGCCAGGCCTCGGACACTCCCTGCAGGCTGCTGTAAGCTCTTTTCCGTGGATGGGCTCCACCCAGAGGTCTGGGGGCTGGGGCTGGGACTGTGGGTGTATGCAAATGTGAGCTCCTGTGGGGGACGGAAGGGAGCCCCGCGGATGCCCGGGGCATACACGTGATCCCCTCGACTCAGGCTCCACGTGCGCACCCATGGCTGGGAGAATTTTCAACCTAAATCGGCACTGCTCTTGAGTTATTTCTCCCTTGGTGCCGCCTCCGCCGCCTCCTCCTCCGGATCTTAGCCGAGCGGGCGTCTTCTCCCCCCTCCCTTCGCAAGCCTCCCGGGCCCCTCCCAGCCGAGCTGAGTTTGCCGGGCCATACCCTACCCGCCGCGCGCTGCCGCTGTCCGTGGTGGCGCGGCCCGACCCGGCCCGGCCCCGGAGCACGCACGAGGCGCCTGCGGGGGCGCTGTCCATGGTGCTGCCGCCGCCGGGCGCGCCCTGTTCTGGGGACGCAAAAAGTATTCAGACAGGGGCTGCCCCTCTAACCAGCACAGCCCGCACGAGGGAATTGCCAGGATACTCTCCCACCTGGCCCCAGGATGGGGGGGGCACTTGTGGGCTTCACACTGTCCCTCCATGCGACGCGGTTGTCCCAGGATGGCCCTTCCTATGTACTGGCATTAAGGGGTCTGGGGCAGCCCTCACGCTGTGCCACCCCTGCCACTGTGGGCAGCTGTAACTCCTGGGAGCCTCAGGTTCCTGGTGTGAAAACCGTGATCACAGCAGTGCTTCCCCTGTGCCCCCCAACCGGGCTGTTGTGAGGCTGACATACACAATTATCCCAGTGGGCCTTTGGCAAGTGCTGTTAGGGATGTCGTGTATTAGCCCAGGTGAGGAATGCAACTACCTGGTCATGACCTGCAGTGAAGGGGCAGCCAAGGTGTGGGGGTCTCCTCTTGGGGCGTGGACTGGCAGCCTGAAGGTTCATGGCAGGAAGGCCTTTGGACTCAAAGCTGGGCTGGCAGCCACGAGGGCCATGTGTCCCAGTTAGACCCTTGGGCCCAGCCCAGGATGTGGAATGCCAGCCAGTGTTGTCCTGCCCAGGGCTTGGAAACCAGTGGGGGGTGTGACGCTGGGAAGGGCGGGGCAGGACCACTGGCCCCCGCCCCCCGGGCCAGCAAGCTCCCTGTGAGCCGTGCCCTGCACTTACCCTCTTCTTCTCGTGCTGTTCCATGGGGCATGTCATCACCCCCAAGCTTTGAAGTGAGGACAGTGAGGCTTGGAGCAGGTAAAGGGCTCCCCAAGGCCACACAGCCATTTGGGGTGACCTCCTTGCTGAGTGTCAGGGGTGGGGACGGCAGGAGATCTGCAACGAGAGGCAGATGGTAGCCCTGTGAGGGGCCCACTGCCTCTTCTCTCTGGGGTCATCTGCATCCAGTGCCCTCTGCCACCCATTCACAGCCTTGGAGGCCTGAGCAGGGGGACGGGGGGTGGTCTCAGCCCCACCCTGTGGGAAGATCCCTACACATAGCCTTCCGTAGCCAGTTCTCTGTCTGTGTCTTGGCTCCACCACTTACTGTGACCTCAGGCAAGCAATTCATGCTGCGTCAAGCTATTGTTTCCTCATCTGTACAATGGGTACAATCATCAAAGCCTTGTCCTCCATGGGTTGAGTGGAAGATTAAGGAAATAATATGTGTGCAGGGCTCATAGTGATGGCATCACCATGAGTACCCTGGGAAGACACTTGCCCTTTCTCTGGGTACGTTCTGAGCCACAGAACCTCCTGCAGCTACGGAGATTCTCAGTGCATGAGCCTCAGATGGAGCACTTAAATCATTCCAGAGAGCTACACTGGTGTGGCATAGAGGAGTGGTCAGAGAATGCCCCAAACCCTCAGTTCCCCAGCCCTGCCTGGCAGAGAGAGGCCTGGCAGGCACCAATGGTGGGCAGCAGAGGTGAAGGGGGCAGTCACCAGCAAGTGTCCCTCCACCTCTGTTCTGTCCTCCAAAGAACCTGGGGGTCAAAAAGCTCTGTGGTGGGTGGAGGTTGAGCTCAGTGCATACAGTAGGTGCTCGGGAGTGTCGTAGTCATGACCAGCCCTGCCTTCCTGCACCTGCTCAGTCAGGGAGGCAGGGCTTACACTCAGACCCTTTCTCTTGGGCGATTCTGAGAATGCCCTGGGAGGGACCGCCGGGGAATGGGGTGGAACCTAGTCCTCCTGCACAGGACTCACTGCCGTCTCCTGGACCCTGTCTGCAGCCCGAGCGAGGAAGATGTCGAGCCCGGGCATCGACGGCGACCCCAAGCCTCCATGCTTGCCTCGCAATGGCCTGGTGAAGTTGCCGGGCCAGCCCAACGGCCTGGGCGCAGCCAGCATCACCAAGGGCACGCCAGCTGCCAAGAACCGCCCTTGCCAGCCACCCCCACCCACCCTCCCACCACCCAGCCTGGCTGCCCCACCGCCCCGGGCTGCCCTGGCCGGGGGCCTGTGCCCCCAGGCAGGGCTCCCACTTGGTGGACCAGCCTTAGCCCCAGTGTCCGGGCCCCCAGCAGAGCGACCACCCCTGGCCACAGATGAGAAGATCCTCAATGGCCTCTTCTGGTACTTCTCGGCCTGCGAGAAGTGTGTGCTGGCGCAAGTGTGCAAGGCCTGGAGGCGTGTGCTCTACCAGCCCAAGTTCTGGGCGGGTCTCACGCCTGTGTTGCACGCCAAGGAGCTCTATACAGTGCTGCCTGGAGGTGAGAAGGAGTTCGTGAACCTGCAGGGCTTCGCAGCACGTGGCTTTGAGGGTTTCTGCCTGGTCGGCGTCTCTGACTTGGACATCTGTGAGTTCATCGACAACTATGCGCTCTCCAAGAAGGGTGTCAAGGCCATGAGCCTCAAGCGCTCCACCATCACTGACGCCGGCCTGGAGGTGCGCACGGCCACGGGCCCAGAGGAGCAGGGGTGGGGGGCTGGGCCAGGCAGCAGCCACTCAGCACGTGTGTGTTGGTGGGGGGGCGGGGCGGCGGGGAGAAGCTTTCACAGGCAAGCAGCAAAGTGGCCGAGGGTGGGGCTGGTGCCCTGAGGAGCGTGGTTCTGGGGTGGGGGGAGCAGGGCTGGCTACTAGTTTGGGGGATCTAGTTCAAAATGAAAATTCGGGTTCTTTGCTCAAAGATAACTAAGGATTTCAAGACAGTAACAGCAATGCAGGGGCTTCCCAGTTATCGCTAAAGAACCCACCTGCCAGTGAAGGAGACAGCTTCAGTCCCTGGGTTGGGAAGATCCCCTGGAGGAGGGTATGGCAACCCACTCTAGTATTTTTGCCTGGAGAATCCCATGGACAGAGGTTGCAAAGTTGGACACAACTCAACCGACTTAGCACTCATGCATGCAACAGCAAAGCAGACAAATGTGAGACCCTGCATGCCGAGAAGTTCGCCTTGGGTAGGGAGGATGCTGGAGGAGGTGGGAGAAGCAGGGGCAAAGGTCAGAGGAGCAGCTGTGGAGGTGGCCCCTTCCCCAGGAAGGGGACTCTAATCATTGCATCATTAACACCAAGGGCTCTGAGCACCTGCTCCAGCCTGGCCTCGGACTCCCAGATCTCCTGTGCCCTGCCTCCTCTCTTAAGAATGTTGTTTATGTGTAATGAACACACTGTAAAGTGCACTTGGCAGAGTCCAGCTTGATGGGTGTTTACACTGTCTGCACCCTCAAGAACACATCTTCCTGCCCCTTGGTAGGCTCCTTCCACCCTGTCTGCTATCAGCCTGCCATGCCCGTGGGGAGTGTCATGCCTGGGAAACCACAGTAGGCTTGAGCCCCATGGAGGCCTCCTGACCCCCTCCTGACCCTGCACCTGTCCGCAGGTGATGCTGGAGCAGATGCAGGGCGTGGTGCGCCTGGAGCTGTCAGGTTGCAACGACTTCACTGAGGCTGGGCTGTGGTCCAGCCTGAGTGCGCGGATCACCTCGCTGAGCGTGAGCGACTGCATCAACGTGGCCGACGACGCCATCGCGGCCATCTCGCAGCTGCTGCCCAACCTGGCCGAGCTGAGCTTGCAGGCCTACCACGTGACGGACACAGCCCTGGCCTACTTCACGGCGCGCCAGGGCCACAGCACGCACACGCTGCGCCTGCTCTCCTGCTGGGAGATCACCAACCATGGCGTGGTCAACGTGGTGCACAGCCTGCCCAACCTCACCGCGCTCAGCCTCTCCGGCTGCTCCAAGGTCACGGATGACGGCGTGGAGCTCGTGGCCGAGAACCTGCGGAAGCTCCGCAGCCTCGACCTCTCCTGGTGCCCGCGCATCACTGACATGGCGCTCGAGTATGTAGCCTGCGACCTGCATCGCCTGGAGGAGCTTGTGCTGGACAGGTGTGCACGGCCCCACCCCTAGGCCACAGAGGGCAGGGCCAGGCGAGGCTGCTGGAACTCTATGAAGGGAGCCTAGTGGACAAGCCTGGAGCTAGAGGGGGTCTGCAGTGAGGGGGGACGGGGCCCTCTTAAGAGGCTAGCCTAGTGTGGACTATAACACAGGGGCGGGGCTGAGCAGTGCCCCCCCCCCCCGGCCAGGGAATACGACCTAGCAGCCAGTTGGGGGCGGAGCCTGGGTGGGGCGCAGCACGGTGGGGTAGGGAGGTAGCTCAGCTCCGGGCGTCTGGGGCGGAAAAGGAAGGGGCCGGACCTGAGGGGTGGGGCAAGTGTTTTGAAGGTGGGCAACCCCTTCTGTTGCGGCCACAGGTGTGTACGCATCACGGACACTGGCCTCAGCTATTTGTCCACCATGTCGTCCCTCCGCAGCCTCTACCTGCGATGGTGCTGCCAGGTATCAGCCCTCCACGCCTCCAGAGACTGGGGAGTAGGCGGGGGAGGTGGGGGGGGGGGCGCGGGGAAAGCCCCCACCCAGATATGCCGCTGACCTGCATGCACCCGGCCCACTCAGATCCTGTAAGGAAGTCTGGGATCCCTTCACACCCAAGCTGCGCGCACGGAGTCCCCAGGGCCCTCAGCGACTCCGTGGGGACCTGAGAACCTACCCCCTGCCCCCTACGGCCTGACGCTAGGAGTGGGGCTCCCTCGAGGCGCGAACGGAAATAGCTAACTCGCCCCGCCTTCCCGCCCAGGTGCAGGACTTCGGGCTGAAGCACCTCCTGGCCATGAGGAGTCTGCGTCTCTTGTCTCTGGCAGGTGAGACCCTGTGCCGCCCTCCTGGGCAGTGGCCACTAACCCCCACCTAGGCCGACTCCGCCAGCACTGCCGGGACCCTCGTGTAGACCCACGCCTGGTGTTGACTCGCGGTGGCGCAGGTCCCACCCGGCCAGAGGGCGGAGTCTCGCCCCTCCGGGCCACGCCCACTAAGCCCCGCCCCTCCGCAGGCTGCCCGCTGCTGACCGCCACCGGGCTATCGGGCCTGGTGCAGCTGCAGGACCTGGAGGAGCTGGAGCTGACCAACTGCCCCGGAGCCACCCCCGAGCTCTTCAAGTACTTCTCGCAGCACCTGCCCCGCTGCCTCGTCGTCGAGTAGTCCGGGCCTCCCCGCCCTCGGCCCCTCGCTCTCCTCCCCGCCCCGCCCCGAGCAGGGAGGGCGGCTGGCGGGCCAGCCCCGCGCACGCACGCACGCACGCTCGGGGAATTTGTGCATGCCCCTCGCGCCCGCAACTGCACGCCCGCCCTTCGCCACGCCACAGTCGCCTCCATCGTTCGCCCGCCCGCCGGAGGGGGAGCGCTGGGGCTCGGTCCTGGGGGCACCTTGAGTTCGCCAGACGGCCGCCCCTACCGCCTTCTCCGCCACACCCCGCTCTGTCTCCCCACCCCGGGCAGGGCCCAGGGGGATTGAGGGGAGCTGGGTCCCCTAGGACACAGGGGCCTGGAAGAGCCCCCAGGGCTTCCCACATCTTCCACTGCACCGCGCCTGGAGCCTTCCGAGGGGTGCGAGGGGAAACAGGCCGCCGCCAAAGCCATGGCCCGCCCAGGAGCCCAAGTCCCACCCTCCTTTCCCCCACTCATGCCAGCCTGACCCCCAGCGACCTCCCCTCTTCCTTGCCGCTGTGTGAGACAGGCCCGGCTCGCCCCACCCCCACCCACAGGCCTAAGGTCCTTGGACCCTGGCTAGGCTAGGGCAGAACTGGATTAGGAGAGGGGCCACCGGGCTGACAGTGACCTTGGCATAATCAACATTAGCCCAGCTGGCCCCAGTCCACCTTAAACCAGGGATGGCATAGCTACCTTGAGAGGCCTGCAGCTGGAGCGACCAGTAGGGCCTGCAGGCCTTGGCAGCAGTCCTGAGTGGACCCTGCCCCGCAACCCTTGTAGCCAGCTGGGCCCAGGCCCCTCAGTGGAACAGTTCATCCCGGGCAGGTCTCCACCAGGTGGAAGCTGGAAAGGGGGGCCCTAGCCAGTGACCGATCTTCCAGTGACCAGCTCCCCCTCAACACCCAGAGGGAGAGCTCCTTTCTAGCCACAGCCTCCCTTTCCCCAGCTTCCCAGACTTCCACCTGCCCACGTGGGCTCACCGTGTTCTGTCCAGTCCCAAGACATCGGGAAGTCCTGGGGTGCTGGCCCATCTTGGCGATTGCTGAGGAGGGGGCTGGGACCCCTTTCCATTCCAACCTTGAGCACCCACACCCTATCTTGGGACACTCCCCCCCACCCCAATCTGGTTGGAAGAGAGTAGCCAGTTTCCAGAGAGCCAGAGAGTGAAAGAGAGAGAGAAAGAAAGAGCGAGCGAGAGATGCTGTTGAAGAGAGACAGTTCAACAGCCCAAAGATTTCCCTGCCCTTGGAGCGCTGGTCAGAGGCTCCAGGGCTGAGATGGTCAGGAGCCAGTTTCTTCAGCCTCTCCTCCCCACAGCTCCCAGTGGGGAGGGGCAGCTGTCTATTTGTCCAAAGTATTAATGCAACTGAAGCTGTGATATTTCCAACGACTGTAGGAGGAAAAATTAGGGGGACAGAGGAAAACAAAACCAACCAACCCCTAAAATCATTTTCTTATTGTACATAACGACCTCATTCTCCTGTATATGCGGAAGATATAACCTTATATTTGGTAAGTGTTTCTTGTGCTATTTTATCACGTGACCTGTTTATAAAAATATATATTAAAAAAGTTGTAAAAACACGTCTGAATTGTTTTTAGGTCATCACACCACGGTGGAGGGAAGGTGTTATCTGTCTTGAGTGGCCCAAGTCTGAATTTTTGTGCACCCCTCATCAGGTTTATTGGTTCTTTCAATAAACATGCAGAGACTGGTAACACTGTGCCAGACTGGAAACCCAGCAGTGACCACCACAGAAGGCCCCTAACCTCTCACTGTGTCAGCGGGGATAGACGCTAAAATCATTACATATAACACTCCTTCCAAAATATCTAGGATCTAGCCCATTCTTACAAGGGCAAAAATGAGGGCTGCTAGGGGTATCCTAGATCACAGCGCAGCAAGCACAGGTCAGGGCGCATACCCAGGAGAGAAAGGGCGGCTCAGAGAGGGTCACTGATTGGACCTTTTGTGTGAGCAGGTCCAGTCAAGCACCAGAGCTCTTGGAGACAGACGGATGCGAGTTCACACTCGTGTGAAACAGATGTAATCAGTATACCGGGGAACTGGTTGTGACGAGCGCCGTGGAGGCCACTTAGATGGGGTGGCTGGGAAAGGCCTCTAAAAACATGCCATTGAAGCTGAACTCTGAGGGATGAGGAGAAGCGTTCTGGGGAGGACACCGAGCGAGCACACGCGATGACCGTGAGGAAGGAAAGGGCTCGGCCGGCTGGCAGCCGCCGTGGCGGGAGGTGCGCGGGGAGGACGCGGCCGGGAGCTCGGAATTTGCCTCCCAGCGCGGTGAGGACGTGTGGAGGCCCGCAGGCCGGAGTCCCTGGCTGTGCCGGGCTCAGATGAGACAGGAGGGGGGACCTCTGGAGAGCCGCTAGGAGGCTGTTCCCGGGTCCGAAGAGGGCGAAAAAGAAGGCGGAGACGGAGGAGGGGCGTGGGGCCAGTCTGGGGTGCCTGAGCTTGCTGATGGACCATGGGGCAGAGATGAGCACTAGCGTTAAAATAACGCGAGTAAAAGGGGAAGAGGAAGAATACCGGAGGCGGAATCTGCGGAACCTCTCCCCGACCTCTGCTCGCCCCTCCGCCTCCACGGCGCGCTCCCGTTCCGGAACGCTTGTAGTGTGGGCACCCGCTTCCGGCGCGGGGCTGGAAAGAAAAGGACCACGTTTGGCGGGGGGCGGGACGGAGAAGGGCTGTTTCCGGCGTGGCAGTTCCTCCCCGGCCCGGCAGTTTCGGGAAATGGCTCAGGTGCCCGCGGAAGGAGAGACTTCTCTGTTCCTCCGGTTCTGTTCCCGCTGTCTCAGCTCCCGCCGCAACCTCCGCGCCGCCGGGCTCTCCTGAGCGGTCGCGCCAGCCACCCCTCGGGCTCCGTAAACAGCTCGGTCCTGAAAGCCCCTCTGACCCTCGTGCTTCGGTAGCCTGTGTTCTCCGGGCGCCTCTGGTCTTCCCGCCCCTTTTCCAGAGGCCGACTGTGCACGGTGGGAGTCATCTGGCTTCCCTGGCGGGACTGACTGCCCGAAGGTCCAGTGACCATCCTGATCTGGCAGTTAGGGTGTTGGAGAAGTGGCCTGGGCTGGGGCTGACCAGGTAAGGTCTCCCCCAGAAGTCAGACATGGGGCTGGCTAGCCTCAGGGCAGCCATGGCGCCCTCCGACTGCCCGGCCAGGGTGATGAAACTTGCCTGTCAGACCGAGTGACTAACGGTGGACTCCTCTGGACTAAGCAGTTTTGGAGGAACCACCTAGGGTGAAGGGTCTGAACGGACACGCCCCTGCCACCAAGCTGACCAGGCCTGCCCATTTCACCGACCTGTCCTCGCCACCCCTGCAGCCATGGAGAAGATGTCCCGCGTGACCACGGCCCTCAGTGGGAGCGTGCTGACGGGCCGCACCATGCACTGCCACCTGGATGCTCCGGCCAACGCCATCAGCGTGTGCCGTGACGCAGCCCAGGTGGTCGTAGCAGGCCGCAGCATCTTCAAGATCTATGCCATTGAGGAGGAGCAGTTTGTGGAGAAGCTGAACCTGCGCGTGGGCCGCAAGCCCTCCCTCAACCTGAGCTGTGCAGACGTTGTCTGGCACCAGATGGACGAGAACCTGCTGGCCACAGCGGCCACCAATGGCGTGGTGGTCACCTGGAACCTGGGCCGGCCGTCCCGCAACAAGCAGGACCAGCTGTTCACGGAGCACAAGCGCACGGTGAACAAAGTCTGCTTCCACCCGACTGAGGCCCACGTGCTGCTCAGCGGCTCCCAGGATGGCTTCATGAAGTGCTTTGACCTGCGCAGGAAGGACTCTGTCAGCACCTTCTCGGGTGAGGCCCCGGGAGGCAGGTCGGGCAGGTGTGCATCTCTGCAGGTGGCCGGCCTGTCTAGGCAGGTTGAGAAGCGCTGTGTGTGACAGAGGCCCTCAGGTGTGCTCCCAGAGGGCTTCCTGGAGGAGGAGCCAGCTGAGCTGGCACTGGAGGAGGGGGTGCTGGTCAGCAGGGAAGGGGCAGGGGTGGGCCTGGTGGAAGTGTGAGGGGTACCTGAAGTGTGGGCACAGCGTTGATGCACTTGCGGGGCCAGCAGGAGGCGAGGGTACTGTGGGATCAGGGAGAGGGCAAGTGGGTGGCTGCCCTGGCGGCTTAACCTCCTCTCGCCATGCCTCAGAACCCCAGGCCACCTCATTGCGTGAAGTCTGCTTCCAGGGTGCTCAGCCAGGGAAGCAGTGAGGAGTGGGGCACTGCCTGGTTCCCCCCTCCCCCTGGTTCCCTTCCCAGCAGGCCCAGCTCCTGACACCCCCGCCTTGAGCCAGCTCTCCTTTTTACCTCGATGAGACCAAATGAAGGATAGGGCAGAGCCCTCAGATAATCAGGGAGTCTCTTATGACAGCCCTTGAGCTCCCTGTGCGGGGGAAAGCTGGGTGCTGCATTCGGAGGCTCCTGGTATGGTGGTCCTCAGGGCTGGACGTGTCCCCTCAAGGTCTCCAGTCCTTGGGGGCTGGCCAACCTGGCAGCTCCAGCTCAAGGTGTAGGGCCGGGGCAGAGCCCGGGGCATTCTATCCCTGCCTCCTGGGACCTGAGGCTTCCAGAGGATTGTATTTGGCCCACCAAGGCTCCTGTTCACACAGTGTTCTGACATCCGGTCCTGAAGCAGTGACAGCTTTGCACGAGGATGGATGTCAGATGCAGAATCCAGAGAAAATCAAGGTCCAGGAGTCTGTTAAAAACCACCTGATGCCTGGTGTCCCTCTCACCTGCCTAGGCTATTGCCATGCCTGCTTTGCCATGTCTCTCTTTGCCCCTGTCCACTCTGGACAGGCCTTGGCAGTGTCTACGCCACCCTCCAGGCCTTCTAGTCTGGGCCACGGGCAGGCATGCAACACCAGCCTACATCCATTCCGAGGAATACCCCTTGGCTGCTTGCTCTCTCCTCTGGAGCTCCTGTGGGCCACCCCATCCCCCACCCCCAACCTTCTCCCTCCACTAATGTCCGCTCACAGGCCAGTCTGAGAGTGTACGTGATGTCCAGTTCAGCATCCGGGACTACTTCACCTTCGCGTCCACCTTCGAGAATGGCAACGTGCAGCTTTGGGACATTCGGCGGCCTGACCGCTGTGAGCGAATGTTCACAGCCCACAATGGGCCTGTATTCTGCTGCGACTGGCACCCCGAGGACAGGTGTGGGTAGGGGCCAGGGCAGCAGGGCAGGGTGGGTGGGCTTGTGGAAGGGCTCTCTCACTGCCTCAAGACCCGTGAGACAGTGGGGAGCCCTCCCACCCCGAAGGAGGTCACTGGGGACTTCATGTGCCTTCCCCAGGGGCTGGCTGGCCACAGGTGGGCGTGACAAGATGGTGAAGGTCTGGGACATGGCCACACACCGTGCGAAGGAGGTGCACTGCGTGCAGACCATCGCCTCCGTAGCCAGAGTCAAGTGGAGGCCCGAGTGCCGCCACCACCTCGCCACATGCTCCATGATGGTGGACCACAACGTCTACGTGTGGGACGTGCGCCGCCCCTTCGTGCCCGCCGCCATGTTTGAGGAGCACCGGGACGTCACGACGGGCATCGCCTGGCGCCACCCACATGACCCCTCCTTCCTGCTTTCTGGCTCCAAGGACAGCACTCTGTGTCAGCACCTGTTCCGCGACGCCAGCCAGCCTGTTGAGCGAGCCAACCCTGAGGGCCTCTGCTATGGCCTCTTTGGGGACCTGGCCTTCGCAGCCAAGGAGAGCCTCGTGGCCACTGAGTCGGGGCGCAAACCCTACGCTGGGGATCGGCGCCACCCCATCTTCTTCAAGCGCAAGCTGGACCCTGCCGAGCCCTTTGCAGGCCTTGCCTCCAGTGCCCTCAATGTCTTTGAGATAGAACCCGGCAGTGGCAGCATGAGCTGGTTCGTGGACACGGCCGAGCGTTATGCCCTGGCCGGCCGACCACTGGCTGAACTCTGTGACCACAATGCGAAAGTGGCTCGAGAGCTTGGCCGCAACCAGGTACACAGGGTGGGCTGAGGGCCAGGATCTTGGTACAGGGCCTGGAGCTCCTCTGACAGATGCGGCCGGACCCTGCCCTGAGTTCAGAGTTCAGCTCTGGCTGAGGACACCCCCAGCTTGCCCCGGTAACTGAGAGTGTACAGAGCCCCAGGAGTGGGCTGACGCCAGTGCCATTCCTGGGGTTGCAGGCCTGGGTGTTGTGGGGTCTTGGCCCCTCTTGGTTTGTCCTTGCTTCTAAACTTCCCAGGGTGTCCAGCCCTACAGAGAATGTCCACAATGCCTTTCTCATCACCTCCCTGGGATCTCAGGCCCATTTCCATGTTTCCTTTGCCCCTACAGGATGGAGGCTAGGGTGTTTGTTTTTCCTGTGGGCCTCGGCTTCCCACCTGGGGTGGGACAGGACATTGGGTCCCTGGGGAAGCTGAAAGCTGAGGGTTTGTGGTTCTATCCAGGCAGAGCGAGACTTGTGCAGGGTGCCAGGGACCCAGGACCCCCATGAGTGACTAGTGCCCACCCCTAGGTGGCTCAGACGTGGACCATGCTCCGGATCATCTACTGTAGTCCTGGCCTGGTGCCCACCACCAATCTCAACCACAGTGTGGGCAAGGGCAGCTCCTGTGGCCTGCCCCTCATGAACAGGTAGACCCCTGGGGGCGGCTTTCCCCAGAGGGTGGGACTGCTGGTACCTACCCACCCATCGGCCCTCCCTGCCCCTAGTTTCAACCTGAAGGATATGGCCCCAGGGCTGGGCAGTGAGACTCGGCTGGACCGCAGCAAGGGTGATACACGGAGCGACACAGTGCTGCTGGACTCCTCAGCCACACTTATAACCAACGAAGGTAGGGTGGGGGCGGGCAGAGGGCCTTCATGGGCGTGGGACTGGGTCTCCCCGCGTGAGGCGGTCCTGGAATGCCCCCCCTCCCTTGGACAGATAATGAGGAGACTGAGGGCAGTGATGTGCCCACTGATTACCTGCTGGGCGACGTGGAAGGTGAGGACGATGAGCTTTACCTGTTGGATCCGGAACACGCACACTGTAAGTGGGGGCGTGGGGAAGGGATGGGGCGGGGCTGGGAGGCAGGGCCAGAGGCTCAGAGCCTGTCTACCCTTCCTGCCCCTGTGTCGCAGCCGAGGAGCCCGAGTATGTGCTGCCCCAGGAGGCCTTCCCTCTGCGCCACGAGATTGTGGATACCCCACCGGGGCCCGAGCACCTGCAAGACAAGGCCGACTCCCCCCACGTGAGCGGCAGTGAGGCCGATGCAGCCTCCCTGGTGCCTGTGGACTCCTCCTTCTCGCTCATCTCTGTCTCGCACGCGCTGTGTGACAGCCGCCTGCCGCCCGACTTCTTCAGTGCCCTGGTGTGTGACATGCTGCGCTTCTATGCCGAGCAGGGTGACGTGCAGATGGCCGTGTCCGTGCTCATTGTGCTGGGTGAGCGTGTGCGCAAGGACATCGACGAACAGACCCAGGTGGGTGACAGGGTCTGGGGGTCTCCCCGGAGCAGCTGCCACCCCGAAGACTGCCCCTGCACGCCCCGCCTACACCCACACCTGTGTCTGTGCCCAGGGAAGCCTGGGCTCTTACTCCGCCCTCCCTGTCCTGCCGCCAGGAGCACTGGTACACGTCCTACATCGACCTGCTGCAGCGCTTCTGCCTCTGGAATGTGTCCAACCAAGTGGTCAAGCTCAGCACCAGTCGCGCCATCAGCTGCCTCAACCAGGCCTCCACCACCCTGCATGTCAACTGCAGTCACTGCAAGCGGCCCATGAGCAGCCGGGGCTGGGTGTGCGACCGCTGCCGCCGCTGCGCCAGCATGTGCGCCGTCTGCCACCACGTGGTCAAGGGGCTCTTCGTGTGGTGCCAGGGCTGCAGCCACGGCGGCCACCTGCAGCACATCATGAAGTGGCTGGAGGGCAGCTCCCACTGCCCCGCCGGCTGCGGCCACCTGTGCGAGTACTCCTGACCCGCTGCCGGGCTGGTGGGGACGGGCTTGTGAACCAAATAAAGGACGCGGGAGACATTCTGAGCGGCTTGTTACCTGCTCGCGTCGCTTGGAGTCAGGTTCCCGCGCAGCCTGCTCTGCCGGGCAGAGGGCGGGGCCTCCGCGTCGCAGGAACCAATAGCAGCTCTTGGAGTGGCCCTCGCCCCGCCCCCCGGAAGCGCGCCCTCCTTCCGGGCCGAAGGAAGCGGCTCCCCAGCCGGTCGGTAGCATCACGGCGGCGCTCCCGGCGTGCCTCGCGGCGGCGGGTTCATGGCGCTGGGGGCGCGGCTGCTTCTGTGGCTCGCGCTCTGGACCCTGGCGGTTCCCGCCCGGAGCTCCGGGGAGGACGCCGACGGAGGGTGGTGAGCGGCGCCGGGCGGGGTGAGGCGGGGCAGGGAGCGCGGCGGGGCGGCCGGCCAACTGAGCCGCTGTGTCGGCAGGCGGAGGCCCGGGCCGGGGGCGCCGGCGGCCGTGACGGAGGAGGAGCACTGCACTGTGGAGCGCCGGGCCGACCTCAGCTACGCCGAGTTCGTGCAGCGGTACTTGCGCTCTCCTGCGGGGCCACACCTCCCGGAAACCTGTCCCTAGAGCTGTCCCCTGCACCGCCGAGGACGCGCACTGTTCCTCCCTAGGCCGCCTCCCTTTGAGCCCCTTCGAGCGCGTGTGGGCGGGAGCCGAGGGTGGGCGCGGGTCAGACCTGGCCGTGACCCTGCCCTTTCTTCTAGCTACGCCTTTTCCAGACCTGTTATTCTGCGGGGACTCACAGACAATTCAGTGAGTATTCACGCTCCTCTCGACCACCACTCGCCAGTGCAAGGCCCCGCCCCTAAGTCCTTTCTCTACCTCTGCAGAGGTTCCGAGACCTATGCACCCGTCAGAGGCTGTTGGCCTCCTTTGGACACAGCGTGGTCCGGTTGAGTACCGCCAACACCTACTCCTACCAGAAAGGTGAGCTGCCCCATCTTGCAGCCCAGCCTACTTGCCAGCATCTTGCAGGCAGCACCAACTAGTCCTGACCAATACCTTTCAAACTGCAGTGGACCTGCCCTTTCAGAAGTATGTGGAGCAGATGCTGCACCCCCAGGACCCTATCTCCATGGGCAATGGTGAGCCAGACAGGTGGCCATGGGTGTGTATGTGTGTGGGGGGTGACTTGGAGATCCCTGTTTCCTCCTGTTTTCTGCTGGCAGACACTCTGTACTTCTTTGGGGACAACAACTTCACTGAATGGGCCTCCCTCTTTCGGCACTACTCTCCACCTCCGTTCAGCCTACTGGGTACAACTCCTGCTTACAGCTTTGGGATTGCAGGTGGGTGCCTTGCAGGATGAGGGGACTTTGGGGCTGGGTGGGGAGGATTAAGCTTGGCAACCAGGTGCTCATAACTCGCCCCACAGGAGCTGGCTCTGGGGTGCCCTTCCACTGGCATGGACCCGGGTTCTCGGAGGTGATCTATGGCCGCAAGGTCAGCACAGGGTGTGGGCTGAGACTCTGGGTTCACTGACCAAAACACAAAGCATAACTCTGCTGCTCCCCCCCACCCCCCAGCGCTGGTTCCTGTACCCTCCTGAGAAGACACCCGAATTCCACCCCAACAAAACCACACTGGCCTGGCTCCGGGACACATACCCAGCCCTGACACCATCTGCACGGCCCCTGGAATGCACTGTCCAGGCTGGTGAGGTCAGTGGCTGGCAGGCAAGGGCCAGGCTGAGCCGGGCCAAGGACCCCCAGCCAACCCATCAACCCACATGTCCCCTCCCACCCCTTGCCAGGTGCTGTATTTCCCTGACCGATGGTGGCATGCCACACTCAACCTTGATACCAGCGTCTTCATCTCTACCTTCCTCAGCTAGCCAAAGGGGGTGGCTGGCGAGCCCACTGCACACCAGCACACATCCCTGCAGTGCTCACAGGTTTTATTACAGGGACAGAGGTGGTGGCAGCAGCCTCAGCCCAGCCCACCCTCACCCCGCTTTTCTGGCCCAGAAGGAGGATGAGAGGCGCGTTGCCCAGCAGAACTGATGAGGGTGGGGATGGGGACACCAGGGTAGGGATCCAGGGACACAAACTATATACAGAAAACTAGGGGCTACTGCCCCAAGGCCCTCCTGAGCTAGGATACCGGGCAAGGCAGATGGGTGGCCCATACACCCACCCTGCTCAGTAATCCTCTACCCAGCCATTCTCAGAGATGAAGGCATCGATGACCTCTTTCATGGCCAGGTTGGGGATGAGCTGTTCCTGGGTCAGGGGGCTCCGAGTCACAGGGTCAAAATGGCCCACGCGCTGTAGTGACAACAGGATTAGAATTAGGAGCTGCTCAGTGGGTGGGGGTTCCACTGCCAACACCCACAGGCCCTCACCTGCAGGTGCTCCTCGATGTCCTTGCGGTCGTAAGTGATGCCGCTGGGCGTGATGCAGGGCTCCCGCATCAGCTCAAAGCTGATCTTGCCGCACAGGTAGTCGGGGATGTCTCGCTTCTGCAGCACACAGGGTAGGGTCAGGTCAGGGGCTGGGAAGGGGCACTGCTCTGGCTACCCACAGGCCCCAGAAGACGGGCAGCTCACCTTTCTCTTCTCATCTACCTGGGAGAAGAGCTCATCCATGTCTGCCAAGTACTTGTCCTGCAAAGAACCAAACAGCCACTTGTGGGCCTGACACCCCTCTCCCCTCCCCATGCACAGAGAGACACAGACCCGACAGGAGCTGGGGCACCTCACGTCACAGCATGCGCGCGCACACACAGGACCCACACTTGGGCTGGGCACCCTCACATGCTTGGCTTCAATGCAGGCCTGCTGGGCCCGTATGTGGCTGTCGTCCTCATCACCCTCGTGGTTCCGCTGACACTCTTCCAGTTCCCTGGGGGTTGACCAAAAGGTGATCAGAGATGGGTCTGGCCAGGGGCAGTCAGACTCCACTCCAGTCTTAGGCTCATTCAGGCCTCATTCTCCTCCATCTCCTGAGTGCCAGAGTTGGCCTTCAATAAACATTTGTGTTCACACCTCAGAATTAACCTGAGTGGTGACTAGAGGGGGGAGCCCACCTCTCACGCTCAGCCACAATGAGCCGTGTGAGGTAAGAGTGCAGCTCATTTTCCTGGTGGATGCGTCGCTCCTCGATGCTGTTCCAGCGCTTCTTCTTTGCGATGCGCAGAGCACTGGGGATGTCGTCCCCAAAGTTGAGCCGCTGCTCCTTGGCCAGGTTGTAGGCTGGGGGATAGAGTATTTGGGTAAATCTCAGCCGGTCCACCCACCTGGTCCCAGGCACCCTGGAACCGGCTAGCCTGTAAGCCCACCTCGCTGCAGGTTGGCAATAGCCTCATCATAGCTTTCCATCTCCAGCTGGCACTGCCCCAGGAAGAAGTGTGCCTTCACAGACTGCCCGTCCAGCTCCAGGGCGCGCCGACAGTCAGCCAGGGCTTGCTCGTGCTGCTGCATCTTCAGGTAGCACAGTGCCCGGTTGGTGTAATACACTGCCACCAAGGGGTTCCGGGTCTGGGGACCAAGGCCGAACCAGCCAGCATGAGGGAGTGAGCTCAGCCTGCCCACTCCATCCCAACTTGAGGCCCACAGTTGGAACCAAGACACTAGCGTTTTCTCAGCTTCCAAGCCTCTGGGTTCTGAGGGAGGGTGAAGCCTACGTGAGCCCACTCTCTGGACTCCAATGAGTCTTGTGAAGGTAGCTTTCCCAGACTCGTGGAAATCCCCAGCATCGCGTTTGACTCTTCAAGGGGCAAGGGTGCCTGGTCCCCAGCCCAGTGGGCCTCGAACAGCTACAGTTCCCACCCAACACAGTTCTCTGGCAACCCGCACTGGCTCGGGAAAGGCGCGGCCTTGGCCCCAGACCCCAAGCACCCACCCCTCCCTCCGAAAGTCTGGCGGGCACGGCCCGACGTGTTCTGGGGAGGGCGCGGGGCAGAAGCCGCAGCCCGGCCCCTCCCCTGGCTGGGACGCCAAGCCCCTCCCGCAGCGCGGGCGAACTCACGATGGCGCGGCCGTAGCAGGCCGCCGCCTCCGGGTACTTGCGGCCCACGAAGAGCCGGTTGCCCTGCTCCTTGAGCTCCTGTGCGCTCGGGCTCTTCTCGGGGCTGCCGCCGCCGGCGCCCAGCCGTGCGCCGCCCTCCTTCTCCTCCTTGCCCTTCATGGCGCCGCGCGGCACCGCCTGGGCTCCGCTCCCAGGCTCCGCACCCAGCCCGCCCTGCCCCCGCAGCCCGAGCCCGCGATCCGCTCGGGCCCGGTCCAGCGCTCCGCCACCGGAACTTCCGGTCTGCAGGTGGGCGTGGCCGGCGGAGCGGACCGCCGCGCGGGTGGGCGGGGCCGCGCGTGCTCCCGGCGCGCTGCGGGGCGGGGCCGGCGGGGAGTGTGACTCTCTGGCAACGCGACGCTGCGTCGAGGTTTGCGAAGGGCCGGGTCACCCGGGCAGAAGCCAGCCGCGGCCGTGCTCCGAGGCCCCGCCCCCGAGGCCCCGCCCGGCGCGTGGAGATGGCCGCGGCCGGCGGGCTCTGGAGCTGTGCGGACCCGAGTCGCTGGGCCGCGGTCTTGGAGTGCTGCGGGGTGGTGCTGCGGGCACGCGCGGGCCCCCAGGGGCGGCTGGAAGCGCTGGACCGGTGGTAGGGCGGAGGGGGTAGGGGCGGGCGGGCCGAGCCCCGTGGCCCGGAGTTCCTAGCACCGCCTCCCCCCAGGTACCGAGAGGAGCTACCCGCGGCTATCGAGGCCCGCGCGGAGAAGCACGTGACACGAGACGAGCTGGAGCGGCTGCTGGAGTGGAAACTGGCGGTAAGGCATCACACGTGGGGCGCGGCACAGCCACGTGGGCGGGGCTTCCCTGGGGGCGCACCGTCGTGGCAGTCTTGAGGGGGCTCCTGGCAAGAGCCACCACCCGTGATACCCGACCCGACCTGGCCACAGAGGGGCCGCTTCCGACCGCGCCTGCGGCAACTTGTGGCCGCCAACTCTCCGGAGCTGGTGGTGCAGCGTTCGGCCGCCGCCCTCCGCCTTCTGCCAGACATGCACGCAGCGGTCATGGCTCTGTGCACCCTCCGCGGCGTGGGCCCGGCTACCGCCTCGGGTTAGTCGGGAAAGCTGGACCACTCTCGGGCAGGGTCGCGGGCGGAACCTGGCCTGTTAGTGTCCTTATCCGTGAAATGGTCTGATGGCAAGATATGTTACACGGGAGAGTTGCTGGAGACAGCAGCCCCAGGCCCACGAGGCGCTGAGTGCTGTCCATTCACCACCCACAGCGGTACTGGCTGCCAGAGCTCCTGAGGCGGCAGCCTTCATGTCTGAGGAGGCAGTGGCCGCAGTGCCCGGCCTGCCCACCCTGCAGTACACTGTCAAGCACTACTTGCTCTACCTGAGCCGGATGCAGGAGCGTGCCACAGCCCTGAGCCAAGGTGCGGAGGCCACGGGCGGCCAGGGTGGTCACGGAGCGCTCTGACGGTGGGAAGGGCCAGGGTGGTCACGGAGCGCTCTGACGGTGGGAAGGGCCAGGGTGGTCACGGAGCGCTCTCTGACGGTGGGAAGGGCCAGGGTGGTCACGGAGCGCTCTGACGGTGGGAAGGGCCAGGGTGGTCACGGAGCGCTCTGACGGTGGGAAGGGCCAGGGTGGTCACGGAGCGCTCTCTGACGGTGGGAAGGGCCAGGGTGGTCACGGAGCGCTCTGACGGTGGGAAGGGCCAGGGTGGTCACGGAGCGCTCTGACGGTGGGAAGATCGGCGTCTCCAAGCCCCAGGCCCCTCCTGCCCTTCTCCAGGCAGTGCATCTCGGCTGTGGGCCCCACGCCGCGTGGGGATGGCCCTGTGGACCTGGGCTGCAGGGCGGAAGATGTGCCCGAACCTGCTGCCCAACCTGGGTCCCGGCCTGGTCCCCGCCGAGGACACCAGGCCAGCCAAGAAGCGCAGGACCCAGGCTGAGGGACTTGGCTGCGGCCCAGAGCCTGCTCACCTGCCCTGTGATCTCAGGCCATAAGTCTCTGGACAGGAGGCTGGCTGACCAGGAAGCTCAATAAATGCCTGCTGAACTGATAACCTGAATGTGAGGACCACAGCCCCTCCCCAGGGCTCCCGGCTCCCACAGACACACCTCACGCTGGGTACAGAGAAGCAAGGGGGGCACCTCAGCCACTCTTGTGGAGGGAAGGGCTCTCACAGTTAACTGGTTAGTTAACTCTCTCAGAGTGAGGAGGAGACGAGCCCAGCTCAGGGCCCCAGTACAGCCAGCTGATGCTGTGTAAAATATTTATTCATTCTTCAAAAAGGCTCAGACTGCAAGTCTCAGGGAAGAGGTGGGGGCAGGGTCTCCTCTGGGGCCACCCCTGGGGACCTCCACCACCTGGCCCAGGCCAGCAGTCCTTGTCCCTCCAGCCTGGGAGGGGGTGGCCAGGGCTGGCGTAAGGCTTGGCCTGGACTCAGTGGGCCACAGGGGCCACCATTCCACACCAGGAAGGAGCAGCCTCGAGACTACATTCACTGAGGGTGGACATGCAGGCCCGCCCGGTGGCTGGCCCTGGGGTCCGCACCCTGGCCCCTGTGACCCTGTCAGGGTGGTGGGGGGATATGGGCACCCAACAGGTCGTAGGCAAAGATGTTCCAGAAGATGGCAAACAGCAGGAAGGTGCCATAGGCAAGCAGTACCACCCACCAGCCGCACTGGTCCTGCAGGCGCTCTTCGTAGCTGCGCAGGATGGTCAGGCCCATGCTGACGCCCACCACCGCGCCCGCCAGGTGCGCCACGAAGCTGGGCTGTGGGCCTGAGGCAGGCAGTGGCGGGGAGAAGCGCAGCCATACGGCCCGGCCCACCTCGGAGCTCACTGCAGGGGGAGGCGGCAGGTGAGGCCCCCTGGCCAGGGGCTGAGGCCCCCGCCCTGGCTCCCTACTTACTGCACACCAGGGCCAGCACCATCCTCAGCAGCTTGTACGGACACCTCATCCCAGCCCAGTTCTGATGGGGTGCAAAGAAGAGGCGGTGAGATAGGTCTCGTGGGCCCCTCCCCTCACCCCACCCCAGGGGCTGCCCCGTTACCATGACGACATTGGCCAGGTGTGCAGAACACAGGGCATAGACCCCGCCGGAGCCCCCCACCACAGGGGCCCGCATGTCAGTAATGGAGACGGTCAGGGAGCCTGTGTGAGCAAGGGGAGAGCCGTGAGGGTGAGGCCGGCTGGGGCGGCCCCGGCGCACGCAGCTGCCTCACCTGCCAGCACGCCCGCCAGGTAGAGCAGGCTGATGCGGAGCAGGCCGTGCACCATCTCCAATGGCACCCCGATCATCAGCTGCAGGAGGGCATTGAACCCCAGCTGCTCCAGCCTGGCCATGGGGGGGGGCAAATGGGTGTGAAGGGAAGGGTGGGGTCCACAGTGAGGCTACCAGCCCCCTGCCCCCACTTCGAGGGGCTGAGCTCTCCAGACCCAGATGGGGGGTGCTCACCCAACATGCATGAACATATAGGTGAGGAAGCGCCAGGCCCGAGCCCTGTGGCCGGGGTGGTACACAAGGGGGCTCTTCATGTACTCGGGGTGGTAGGTCTGCAGCACCCACTTGTTGAGCCGGGCCCCATAGCACAGGAACACGATGATCTGGGGGGACAAGTGCTGGAGCCAGGCAGGACCAGGGGCGAGGGAGGCGCCCGGGGAGCTGGCTGGACAGGCAGGCCCACCTGGGCAAGGGTGACTGAGGCCATAAATACGGGGGGCGGGCAGCTGCGGTGCCGGTAGAAATACCAGTGGCGGTCCACCTCTCGGGGCAGGATCTCGTAGGCCACGTAGCGCACGAACCGCTTGTAAACACCCAGGCCTGGCTCATCCAGCAGCCCGTCCCGAGGCAGTGCCCGCTGTCCGTTGGCGATGGCCCGCTTGAAGCTGCTTGAGCGCTTGCTGCTGATCTAGGGGGCGGGGCCCAGGCATAGACCACCATACTCCCCCCACCCAGGGCCGCCCCTCCTGAGGGGTCCACCCAGCTCCTCACAGGGTCCCAGGCTCTGCCCTGTGTCCACAGCCCTCCCCAGTGGAAAGGGCAGGGAGGAGGGGCCACCTGCCCACCCCACTCCAGCCAAGGGACTGCACAGGCCGGGCCCCCACCCCAGCTGCCCACCCACAGTGCACTGACCAGGTCCACCAGCTCCTGATAGCAGACCTGGCCCCGCTCGTTGCTCTGGGCCAGTGCCACCAGCATGTCCAGCTTGGCTGGGTCCAGGGGCAGCTCATGGCGGTGCACCAGGCCAGTGAAGGTGTCTGCACCGATGAAGCCTGTGTTCTCAGGGTCCAGCTGCTGCAGTTGGGGGGAGGCCAGCAGCCAGGGCTTGAGCGTGGGCCTGGCCCCCAGACAACAGGGCTGGGCAGGTCAGCCTGGAGAGGCAGCCTCTGAACACCCCAAGTCCAGGTCCCTGTACCCACGTGGTCCTAGGAGCTGCAGGCACCAGCACCTAGGTCCCTGGCCTGAAGCTCCGCTAGTTCTCCAGGGGTCTCCCCCTCATTTAAGCCCTGCCCATCCTGGAGGGATAGGGCCAAGGTATGAGGGCAGTCACCCCCCTCCCACCACGCTGCGAGCGCCCTGCTCTGGCTCGCCCTTTCCTGGGTCTTGGGCGGGAGGCTAAGGTCGCGTAGGGAGACGCTGGGCTGAGGGTCTCTGAGAAGTCCGTTCCCCGGCCCACCCAAGGGCGAAGGGCCGCGGCGGGGGCGGTGCCGTCGCCCCCCACCTCCGCACGCACCTGCTCCTGGATAAGCTGCAGCAGCGAGCTCCTGTCCATAGAGCCGGGCCGGGGGCCGGGGCCGGGGTCGGCGGCCGCGGCCGGGAGGGGCTGCTCTGCGGACGACTCCGCTCCGCCCCGGCCCTCCGGCTCCGCCCGCTCCGCTCGGCGCCGCGTCACGGAGCCGCCCGCCCCCGCCGCACACGCCACCGACGCCCGCCCAGCCACGCGCGGTCGGGACACGCGCGCGCCCCGCACGAGGACGTGCCCGGGCAAGAACGGCGCGCGGCTCCCGATTCCCATCCTGCTAGTCCCACGGGGCGGCAGCCGTGAAACTGAGTCACGCGCAGTACCCAAGACCCTCCTGCACACGACCCGTTTTCCCGGGCGGGGTGTCAGCGCCAACGCCACCTCCTCGGGGAAGGTCTCAGGGAACAGCCCACTGCTGAGACTCTCCAGGCGGGGGCTCCCAGAAGGTACCTCCCTGCAGGCAACTTGCCCATCCTGACAGCCTAGCATCAGGCCCAGCCCACATAGCAGGGGGCAGGGAAGGCCTGCAGCTGGCCCTGCTTAGCGGGTGGGGACCCACACACCTTGGGCTGGAGGCTTCTGACCCCGCCTGTGGCCAGAGCTGGGATGGGGAGGGGCCCTGGCCCACAGGGAGGGCAGGCAGACCCCTCCAGTAAGGAAGATGGCACTCGGGACGCGCACCACAGGGCCACTCTCACCCCCCATGCAGCTGGGTCTTGGGATGGACGCAGCAGCAAAGAGCATCCTGCCATGTCTGGCACCAGTGAGGACTGCACCAGGAGCCTCGGGTGTGGAACTGGGGGCCACCGGGATGGTCGGACAACTTCCGGGTCTGACCCCCAGTCCCTACTGGGCTAGGTCTGAGCGTCCCTGCTGGGTGGGCAGCTCCCTGCCCCCTAGAAACAGCTTGTCAGGGCTTGAGGGCCTGGGCCCAGGGCCTGCCTTGCACAGAAAGACCAAGTGCAGGACGGAGGGGACGGGAGCCCAGGATGAACGCCTGTGTGAGGGCCTGAATGCCAAGCCGGGCCCCCACCTCAGCCCCAGGAAGGCTCTCTGCCCCCTTGTCCTCAGGCTGTCCCCTGCCCAGTGGGAGGGACAGAGGCTCTGGGGAGGGGCGGGGGTAGTGGTGAGAAAGAAGACAGCTTCCCCAGAGCAGGGCATGCCAGCATATCCCAGAGCCCCAGAGCCTCAGCACACTTCAGCCAAGCCAACAGGTGGAGGCTGAGATTGGAGAGTGGGTACACCTGGCAGTGAGGAGGGGGGTCGCATCAGTGGGACCTCCAGTATCAGGCACCCCAGCCTCACCCTCAGCCAGTGTGGACTCCATGGTCCCCAAGGCTCTGAGGCTGCATCGGGGCCGAACTGATCCTGACCTGGACCCGAGGCCCCAGGATGGTGACCCAGGCCAAGAGGGGCGGCATGAGCTCCGGAGGAATGTTCCCAGCCCACACTCACAAGGACGCACTTCAATTAATTCAAGAAGTCGTTTTCAGTAAGCAGGACCCAATATGGAAAAGACACAAGTGACATTTAATCAGGAAACCCAATCTCACGTCTGCCCTGGACTGGTCTTTAAATCGGGGGTGGGGGGGGGCACATGCTGGTCCAGCCATTTCTTGCTCCCACCCCCTGCCTTTAGCCCCAAGTTCCTGCCTTCATACCCCCTTCACACCCACTGGCCATACACCAAGGACCAGGAAGAAGGGATGGAGCCCTGAGAATTCGGGTCTGGGGGCACTGACTTGCTCAAACACCCCTGGTCCCTCCAACACCTGCTGCCCACAGAGGTAGGCCACACCCAGCACCTGCAGCAGCTGGGAGCCAGCCTACCTGCAGGCGGGGTAGGGGCAGGGGAAGGGCAGTGGGGGGCTGTCCTCAGGAGGAAAGTGGAGACCGGGGGAAGCCCTGCCCCCCCAGCACCCTGAGATAGACCGCGGGGCCCGGGGCCTCATCGGCTCTTCACCAGGACCCTATAGAGGGAGAAGCTGAGGACAGCAGCGACGGCAGCCCCCACGGCTCCCAGCGCCACCCGAAGCCAGAAGGAGGTGGCCTGCAGCTGCCCATGGACAAGGTGTCTGCAGGAGAAAGGAGACCCTTGCTGCTGTACCCCCATTGCCCAGAGACCACTGAGCCGCCGCAGCTGCTCCCTGCCCGCGCCCACTCGACAGACCGCCCCAAGCAGGGGCAGCCTGAGAGGCCTGACCCCTAGGGCCTGCCGCGCCCCACCACAGTGCCAACACCAAGCCACGCCGCCCTCCTGGGACAGGGTGCATCTCCCACGGGGCTGTGTGCTGGTACCCACGGGAAGGTGGCCATTGTGGCCAGCCGGGTGAAGATGCCCAAGCGGGGCTCAACTGGGCCGGCACAGGAGAATGGGGCGGGGGCGGGCAGCCGGTGCCGGCGGCAGAACTCAGCAGGAGACAGGCCGGGCAGTGGGACGCCTCCGGGCAGGTCAGCCTTGGAGCAGACGAAGAGGCAGGGGGTCTGTCCGTCCATGTAGTGCTGCTGCAGGGCGGGGGCTGTGTGAGTGCGCCGGGGGTCCCTGCTCACGCCCTGCTACCCCGCAGGCCCCCAGGGCGGGCGGGACCTTGCCTTATAGACGCTAGCGCACAGCGCGAAGGACCTGGGGTCACTGCCGTCAAACATCAAGCAGGCCACATCACAGGAGGCGTCCGCCGAGGTGGTCAGCAGGCTGTCCGCAGCCACCTCGCACAGCTAAATGGGATGGCCGCAGAGGGGCACAGGGCTGGGTCCCTGGGCCACGCTGCGCAGTGCCCCCCGTGTGCACATGCCAGGCCCACCCTGGGGACCCCCTGGCACTCACGATTAGGTATTTCTCCTGCCCGTTGACCTGCACTGTGTCAATGGCATAGACGGAAGGCTCCCCGGCAGGCTTGCGGGCATCCTGGTGCTGAGGAGGGAGGCCCCTGCAGCTTACGGCTCGGCTGCTCCCCAGAAGCCCAGCCCCCAGGCCCCCTCACAGTCTCGCAGATGCTCACCCCCAGGCCATGGCCAAGGAAGGCCTGCAGAAAGGATGACTTGCCCACACCAGGGGCCCCCACCACCTTGCACAGGAGGACGTTTCTCTGCGTCTGTCCCTTCTCCTGGTCCAGCCTCTTCTCCCGGGTGACTGTGGGCAGGGAGAGAGGATGAGCAGGAAGTGGGGGCTGCCAGGGAGGTGCTAGCCAGGGGCCGGGGTGAAGCGGGCACCCACCTGTGATGGCGTGGGCCTGGGAGTCCTGCTCGCAGAGTGTGGGGTAGCCCAGATAGCCCAGGTGCTCAAGAGAGCGCCGGACATCCAAGTAGGTCACCAGGCTGGGGACGGGAGAGGGGGGCACATGGCATCGCCGCGGGGCAGAGGCCATGGGCCTGTCTGGGCGGGCAAGGGCTACACTCACGTCCACTGGCACAGGTACCCGTGCAGGGGCAGCCGCCCGGCCTTGGTGCGGACCGTGCTGGGGAGCTGGGGGCCCCAGGGAGCAGCGGGAAACACACTGAAAAGGCTCTGCAGCTCCTCCGGGGAGAGGGCACCGTCCCGGTCCTGTGAGCAGAGGGGCGGCGGTGACAGGCGCTCAGGGGGCTGTGGGGGCGCAGCCGGGGCCCAGCACCCTCACCTGGTCGTGCTTCTCAAACATCCTCTGCACGAACTGGTAACCTCGGTGGTTGAGCTCGGCGCTGCAGCCAGGGGGCACACGGAGCCTGTGGGCACCGGGGTGGGGCTGCGCTCAGCTCCCGGGCACTGCAGGGCACTTCCCCCCAACGCAGGCCATCCAGGCAGGCAGCCAGCCCCCCAACCCAGGGAGAGCATGCCAAGGGCCCCCAATACAGGGTCCAGGAGCCCCATGCCCAACCCGACACAGAGTGGAGGCGAGCCCGGAGCCTGAATGCCACTCACGGTGGGCAGAGGTAGTCAGCTGTCAACTCCAGCGAGTCTCCATAGCCAAAGCGCCTCAGGATGGTCCACGTGGTCTCGTGGCGGCCTCGCTGGATGAAGAGCGTGTTCAAGAAAAGGAAGCCTGCTCAGGGATGCAGAGGACAGAGTGGCACCGGGCACAGCCCGGCCTCGCCCACCCCCGACCCCCGGGCAGAAGGGCGTCAGGCCTCACCGTCCAGAGTCAGTCGGTCGTCACGTACACCTCCCGCCACGTTTTTGCTCACCACCATCTTCACGTCTTCCAGGGCCTGCGGGGCCAGAGGGTGCCCGAAGCAGGACGTCTGTCTCCAACAGAAAGTGGTTGTTGGTTGGGCACCCTCTCCGTCTGTCTCGAGGGCAGCCCAGGAGTGGGGGCTGCTGCCGCCAGGGGGCGGGGGATAGGGCGCCGGGAGACAGTCAGGGCCACACCTGGAAGGCGTTGAGCTCCTGGTCACTGAGCGCCTGGTCCATGTCCTGGTCTGAGAGCTTGAAGATGCGGGTGAGCGCCTGGGCACATGCGGGCCTCAGCTGTGGAGACGGCAGCTCAGCACCCCCGCTGCTCCCTCCTGCTCCCCCCCACGCCGGCAGCCATTGCCCACCTGCTTGGCCTCAGGGTCATAGAGGGGGGCTGTGGGGTGCAGCACGGCCTTCTGAGCATAGTAGAACAGCTCTGAGATGTTCTTCAGGTTCTTGGCCGAGCACTGGGACATGTGGGAGCAGACTCGGGTGAGACGTGAAAGCACACGCCCTCGCCTCTGCAGCCCCATGGCCCTGTCTGCTCACCTCCACGCAGGTCTCGATCTCGGGGAACTGGCTCATGATGGGCAGCACGGCCTCCATGGAGCCCCCTGGCCGCAGGTCTGCCTTGTTGCCCACCAGGATGATGGGAACCCTGGGGAGAGGCCCACGGTCACCAGGGATCAGGGAGCCGGCAGGGCCCAGCCTCCTCCCCAAGCCCTGCCTACTACCTGGGTCCCCTCTTGGTATCCCCGTTCACCAGCGGGATCCATTTGGTTCGGATCTGAAAGGTAAGAGCTGCCCGTGAGGGCTGGGGCCCACCCGGCCCACAGGTCCCAGGTGCAACTCTCACTTGGCTCAAGATAGGCCCACTGAGGAGGGAAGTCACGGCCACCAGCAACAAGGCCAGTGCAGGAGAGCAGCCAGCAGGCAGTTCCCAAACACTCACAAAAGGCCTGGCGTCAGGAGCCCTTCCCCCCAGGCCTAAAGAGACTCAGATGTAAGGCCATCCACTATCTCTGCTCAGACACGTTCTGGGGAATTCCAGGGAAGATGGATGCCAGGGGCCCCATGAGACTCCCCAAAGCCCTCGTGAGACATGGGGTCTGCCACGGGTGCAAGTTGCCCTGAACCTGGGCCAGCCTGGGGTGTGTGTGGAGAACAGGCAGGTGACCAGGCTGAGCACCAGTAACGAGAACCTGGAATGCTCACCTTCTCGACAGTGGCCTCTTCAGACACGTCATACACCACGCACACCACGTCTGCCTGTTGAAGGAGGGCAGAGGTCGCACGGCGGGACCTGAAGCTTCCTGCTCTGCTCACAGGCGAGACAGGATGGGGCTCAGAGACCAGGGAAGCCCACCGCTTCAGCTGCTCCCAGGCTGAGTCAACTGGCCATTGGCCACCCACATCTCAGGTCAGCCCTTCGCTGCCCACTTCCGCTGCAGAAGCCAGGCCCTAGTACTCAGCTCTGGACAGCGAGTCCCATGAGGGCTCAGGACACAGCCATCCTGACACTTGGTGCCCCAACCCCAGCCTCAGCTCTTCGCTCGTTGGCCCCTACCGCCAACAGCAGATAGAGGGCGACAGCACAACGGGGGTGATGGTAAAACCGTGGCTGTGGCCCGGACCCTGGCCAGCCGCACCCCAGGACACAGCGGAGGTTGCAGGGGCGGCACCCGAAGCTTAGTCCAGGCCCAGGTTCTCCGGAAAACAGGAAGGCAGAGAGCCCACAGCCCTGTTCACGGCGCCCAGTGCAACCGGGAGACCCAGGACGGTGCATTGGACTAAAGGGTCAAGACTGGGGGTGTGGGCACACAGCTGTCCAACGGATCACTTTCAAGAACTTGGAGACTGCTCCCCAGGGTCCGCAGAAGAGGGAAGACGAGGGGAGGAGGGCTGGAGGGCTGACCAGCCTGGTGGGCAGGAGAGGCAGAACCCCGCCCCCGCCCGAAGAGCTCCACGCGGGCAGGTCGGGACAGAATTAGCAAGGCTGTGGCTCCTTAATCCGCTCCCTCGGAGGATGAAGCAGATCAAGCCGCGGTGGCTCGGCCCCCAAGCCGTGAGCCCTGACCCGGTGCCCAGCTGCCCCCAGGACACCCTGTACCTTGTCAATCTCACCCTGGAGCTCCTCCACCGTCTGCTCGGTTTCTGAAACAAGAGACCCCGCTGCAGACCTGCCAGAGACGCCGGCTCCTGGACGGAACGGCGGGCGGGCGGCTGCGCTACCTGAATAATCCACGATGTGGGTGGGCACCTTCTCCGGGGTGACGTCCGCGGGAATCGTGATCTCCTCCGCCCGGGCGGGGACCTGGGCAGACGCAGCCGTGAGGGAGACGGGCAGGGACGCAGGGGCGCGGGGGCGCGGGGCGCTCGGCCTTACCTCCTCGGGGAACTCCTCGCCCACCAGCGACAGTATCAGCGACGTCTTCCCCACCTGGGCTGCGCGGGGCAGCGCGGTCAGCGCGGAGGCTGAGGTCGCGCCGCCCCTCCCCGGCCCGGCCCGGCCCCGAGACCCCTGCCCACCCCGTACCCAAGCGCCTACCCTCGCCCAACAGCAGGATGCGCACGTCCCGCTTCATGGTGGCGCCGGGAGCTAAGGCCTAGACCTGGGCACACCCGCCCACCCGCGACCGCGACCGCGACCCAGACCCGGACCAGCGCTCTCGGAGCGCGCACTTCCGGCCCGCACACGCAGCCGCACTGAGACCGGCGGGCCAGAGTGGCGGCAGAGCGCGGCGGCGCCCCCGCGTGGGCGCGCCGGGCACTGCGGGCGCGCGCGGTCCAGGCCCGGAGGAGGTCTGGGGCTGCGGGGAAGCTGAGCTCAGGCAGTAGTCCGCAGCGACCAGGAGACGATGCTTCACCGCTACACGCACATTTATTTGAACTGTACAAGGCAGAAACAAAACCCCAAGGGTGAGGGGCTCCGAGTACTTCACACATGTTCGGGTTCCTGATGCTTCACACACGCTCCTGAGGCGCCGGTGCAGAGTGGAGAGCCCACGGGGCCGACCCAGCTTCTCAGTGAAGCCTCTGCCCAGGCCAAGAGCCCAGCTGAGCGGTAGGGCTCAGCGGCCTGTCAGTTCCCACACCAAGATCTCGCTGTAGGCCGCCGTGAAGAGCAGCTTGGCCGACGGGGCAAACCTGCACAGCTGCACGGAGTCGCCATGGCCCGCGAAGTCCTGCGCGGCCCCCGACGCGCGGTCCAGCAGCCGCACCACGCGCTCTGCAGGCAGACAGCAGGGGCTGGGCCAGGGCGGGGGCGGGGCCTGCCGCCCCCCTGGCCCCCTCCCCAGACGGAGCTGTGCCTCGCTGGGGAACCCGGCGCCCCACCCCATCACAGGTCTATCTGTGAGCCCCGGGAGCGGCGTCCTCAGTCCACTACAGGGACAAGGAACCCAGGGCCCAATGGTGAAGAGTATGGCTCTGTGAGGGTACACAGCGGTGCCCAGCCGGCCCCACTCAAGTCACCAGCACTCACCAGAGAAGCCAATGGCCACGAGGTGGGCCCCAGGGGACAGACTCATGGACACAGCAAAGAAAGGCAGTGGGATCTTCTCCACCACCTGCAGGCAGCAAGCAGGAGGCTCTGGGGGAGGGAGGCCAGGGGAGGGGTCCCTGACCCTGAGACCTGTCCCTCCCCAGCTCTGGGGCCCACAGGCTCCCAGCACCGTGGAGAGGCGCACGTGCCTGCTTCTGGCGGAGGCTGTAGAAGACCACCTCGGGGTGCACACCAAGGCCTGCGCACACTAGCAGCGCCGGGTCCCAGGGGCAGAAGGCAGCGAGCGAGGGTGGCAAGCAGCCGGAGGCCTGTGGGGGCACAGTGCAGGGTGGGCAGCCGGGGCACCACGCCCACGGGGCCGCCAGGACGCTTACCCCTTTGACACCAGGCGCTGGGAAGCTCAGCCAATCCACAAGCTCACAGTGGTCGCGCAGCCAGTCAGAGGCCCAGACGCTGACTCGCTGGTCCCCGCTGGCGGCCAGCCACAGATCCGTGCCCTCTGCCCCGAAGTCTCCACACTGGGGGGACAAGGGCTGGTGGGTGTCGCCTGCCCTGTTCTCCCTCCCTGTTCCGCCAGCACCCTGGCCTGGGCCGGCCCCACCCAGGAAGGACCATGTCACCTCCTTCCTTGTGCTCTGGAGGGTGCAAATGGGGGCGCCACGATGGTCACTCAGCACCCGGAAGGTCATCCCCGTGCAGGGGTGGCTCACGGCCACGAGCCCGTCCTTGTCTCCAGAGACGATGGTCTGACCTGGGCCAGGCAGACCCTGTGCTGTCACTCGTGCACCTGGCCTTCAGCCCAAAGGCGTGACCTGGACCAGGCAGAGCCGCAGAGCCGTGCTGCCACCGGGAGCCCAGCCTCACCATCAGCAGAGAAGGCGAGGGCTGTGATCGCGACCGCGTGCGGGTACATCTTGAGCTCCACGGCCGTGCGCGGGATGCTGAAGATCCGCAGTGCCCCGTCACTGTAGCCTGCTGCCACGTACTGCTCTTCCGGGCGTCTGCACGACAAGGGGCTCCAAGCCAGGCAGAGGCAGCTCTGGGGACCACCGGCGGAAAACATCAGGACTCCCCAGGAAGGGGCGGGGCCCAGGCCTAGCCAGACACTGAGACTGGAGAGAGGCCATGGGGCCTGCAGGAGCCAGGCCAGCAAGCACCTGGTCCAGGCTCTACCCGGGCGTGCCCCCAGCCCTGGACGTGCCCTCAGCCCCGTGGCACCACTGAATACCTGGTTGAGCACCTGGAACTGGATCAACAGCTCCGTGCTAGCCACGCACCATACCCTCACGCTCCCGTCATCACTGCACGTGGCACAGTGGGACTCGTCGGGGCTGAAGGCCACTTCGTTCACCTGTGAGGAGCCATCAGGCTGCCTGAGGCCCACGGCCAAGGAGGGACACAGCATAGCCACGTGGCTCTGGAGAGCATCCGCCTCCCCCTGGAGCTGCTGGGCCCCAGCCCTGCCACGGGACACAGCCTCACTGTCCCAGCCTCCCGAGGCCCCCCATGAAGCCTGGGTGAAGGCCCCTTCCTGAGGTCCCCCACGAGGCCTGGGTGAAGGCCCCTCCCGAGGTCCCCCACAAGGCCTGGGTGAAGGCCCCCTCCCAAGGTCCCCCACAAGGCTTGGGTGAAGGCCCCCTCCCGAGGTCCCCCACGAGGCCTGGGTGAAGGCCCCCTCCCAAGGTCCCCCACGAGGCCTGGGTGAAGGCCCCCCTCCTGAGGTCCCCATGAAGCCTGGGTGAAATGTGAACCACAGAAGCCCACCAGTCAGTTGAACTTGACCGTCCACTTGCTGGGACATGACAGAAAGAACTGTCCTTACAGAACCTAGAACATGGGACTTCTGGGGGCCACAGACTGAAGTAAAGGACGTGCTGTTAACTGAGCCTCGTGGGGGGGCGCGGTGGGGGGCGGCCTGAGATCATCATGTGTGTGGAAAGAAAGATTACACAGAATCAGGGTCTCTGGTGTAAAACAAGGAGACGGGGAATGTGCACCAATGAGGTGGGGACAAAAGCCAAGTCTTGTATTTGAATAAAAAAGTAAGAACTGAGTCCTGCTTGGGCGAGAAGCGCTGGGCCCTCTGGCCCTCAGACTGTGACCTCTAAGCCCAGTTCCCACTGGAGAGGCACAGAACCAGGTCAGGCAGGCCAGGGTCAGGCAGAGCTGCAGAGGGAGGGCCTGGAGCACACATGCCCCTCGGGAGGTAGGGCCACAGTCACCACCAGCTCAGGGGGACTCAGAACCAACAAGGCCACTGCCACCACCGCTGCCAGACACGGGCACTGCTGGGGAGACACAGCGCTCCCCAGGGAGGCAACACCAGCTGGCTGGCCCTGCCTAGACCCCGGCCTGGCCTCCAGACCCCGGGGGCTCTAGAGGGGCACACCCAGCCCGCTGGTGGGGGATCCCAGCAGGAACGACCAGCTTTCTCCAACAAGTACACTACAAGAAACAGAGGCGGGACAAGCAGGGTCGCGAAGGCCACTTGCCTGGGGCTGCTGCGGGGACGCCTCGTGGGACACAGCGCCCACAGGTGCGGGGGGAGCACGGTGGCTCCCCCGCCGTGTGAGCAGCGGCCCGCCCGGCACTCACCTTGCTCCGGTGGCCACTGATGAGGCGAGTGCTGGTGCCCTCAGCCCAGCTGATGTACCAGAGTGTGCCCGCCGTGGTGCCCACCACACCCATGTCCATGCTGTCGTGGAACACCGCGCTCACGACAGCCCCGTCGAGGGTCAGTTCACGCTCCAGGAACACGGAGCTGGACCTGGAGAGCAGGGGTCACAGGGCTTCCTCGAGAGCCCAGGGCACTGCCTCACCCGAGCACACCCCTGGGGGTGGGCCCAGCCAGCTGGAGGGCCCACGCTCACCTGGCCCCCGAGCCCCGGCGCCGCAGCTCTGGCACGGCCCCCACGGCCCACAGGCGCAGCCGACGTGTGTTGCTGCCGCTGACCAGCCAGGTGCCTGAGCACAGCAGCACTCCTGGGGAGCAGAAGCGGGCGTGAGCCGTGTCCCCAAGGCCTGGGGCTCCAGAAGGCGTCCCGCCGCCCCGGCATCATGACTCCCAGGGGGAACCGAGCTCCGAGGGCCGTGGGCTCTTCAGACACCCACCGATCTCGCCGTCATCTGCCTCCCAGGCAAGGAAGCAGCAGTCGGCACGCATGTCCCACACGCACACCTGGCCCTCACTGGAGCCGCAGTAGAGCAGGGGTGTGGCCCCGTAGCAGAGTGAGCTCAGCTCCCAGCCCCCCGCCTCCTCGGGGACAGGCTCCCGGTGGGCCTGGCAGGAGAACGGGGGTCAGCCACGCCCGGGCCGCCACACCCCATCTTCCAAGGCCACCTCCGAGCCCCGGCACCTGGAGGCTGATGTCACCTGCCCGCCCCCACAGGAGCTGCAGGGTGAGGACACCCCGGCCCACGCAGGTCAGCTTGCCGGCATCCCAGGGGTTGAAGGCCACACCGTGCACCGGCTCTGGGAGGCGTGTGGAGGACACGAGCTCGCAGGTAGCCATGCTCCATAGGGCCAGGGTGTCATCGCCACAGCCCCCTGGGGAGACGCAGAGGGCCTGTGTCAGCAGCCCAGGGGTCCTAGGACAGGCAGGGGCTCAGAGACCACTGTCCTCCACCTCCGCCCGCTAACCCAGTGTGACCAGGAGCCTGTCGTCTGGTGAGAAAGCCAGAGCCTGGACCGTGGTGTCGTGGTGACAGAGGAGCTGCCGGCAGGAGCCCCGGGGAATGTCCCAGAGACGGATCTGGCAGCAGGAGGCAGCGCCGCTTCGGCCAGAGGCCGAGGCCAGGACCTGGCGGTGGAGGGGCGCTGTCAGCAGGGAGGGTGAGGTCCACGGGCCTGCTTGGGCTGCAGGGGCACCTCAACTCTGGGCCTGTGGGGGTGCCACAGGGCGGGCACCTGGGCATCGTGGCTGAGGGCCAGCGTGGAGATCTCCTCGGGGTGGCCGAGCCAGTGCTGCTGGGCGCCCGAGTGCAGGTCCTCCACCACCACCAGGCAGCCACACGTGTAGGCGAAGAAGCCTGTGGGCCAGACAGAGCCCGGCAGGTCAGCACGGCACGGCGCACCTCCCCATGGGCCCAGCTACAGGGGCTCACACCCGTGCCCCCCCCATGGAGAAGGGCTGGGGACAAGAGGCCCAGAGGCGCAGCAGGACAGGCCCCCCGCAGCCCCTGGGCCATGGCCGCACCGGTATCTGGCCTCCAGACGAGGTTGGCGCGCCCGTTCCCGTTATAGCCCACGACGGCCTTCAGGCGCAGCCGCTCGTCGCCAGCAGGGGGCAGGGAGAGGCCCTGCGGGGAAGTGGCCAGGACGCGGGTGCCCACCTCAGACTCTGCCCTCAGGCCAGGCCTGGATGAGCCCGCAGGTGTGGCTCCGGGAGGAGGCGGCAGAGGGCAGGAGCATGGGAGAGAAGGGAGGCCAGGCAGGGGCTCCTGGGGATGGCCTGGGGGGCAGGGAGGAGCCTAGAGAAGGCCGCAGTGTGGGAAGGCAGGAGGGAGCCAGCACGGTGGGCTGTTGCACGGGACACTCCCGGTCCCACTGGCAGCCTGTCAGGAGCACAGGCTGGGAGAGAGGTGGAGGGTGACCAGCAGCCTCCGGCCCAGGGAGCTGCCCCAGGGACACGCCAGGAGCCACTGCTGACAGCGGGGCCGGGGGGGGGCAGGAGGGGACCCTCCGACACCACATGCCGCGCTGCCTGAGCCTGGCCTCCACAGCATCCACCAGTGGCCGGGACCAGGAGGACCCCCACCCCGCCCACCTGGGCCGGCGAGGAGGCCTTGTAGCGCGCAGTGAAGTGCCGGTAGGAGTTCGGGTGAGTGGGGGGCCGGGCCCTGGCTCCCCCTGTGCTGCAGGCACCTGTCAGGCAGGGCGAGAGGCTGTGGATCCCCGGGACCACATGGCAACCTCCCCACTGTCGCCCTGTCCTGGCTAGTCAGAGGCTTGGGGTCAGAGGGCACGGACGGGCCACATCGCCCTGCCCACCTGGCTTGACCGGGGCCTCAGGCTCTCTATCTGCCCTGCAGGTGACCCCCCCTTTGCTGGGGCAACTGGCTTTGTCCTTAGACCACCTGGAATCCACTTGGGCCCCAGCCCAGATGCGAGACCCTGCCCCACGCTGCTGCATCGCCTGCTTACTGGGCCAGCCACAGGGGTGGGGGCGCCTGCACAAGTCCCGGGGGCTTCCTGTCACCCCGCAGGCCCCTTTGCCAGCCCGGCCGGCCTCCTTCTGGACCATCACGGACGGGCCTGAGGCCTGATGGGGATCCTCGGGGCCACGGCTCTCGTCTGATAGGAAGAGGGCGCCTGGGGAGGTTGGGGAGACAGCAGCAGTGGGGGAGCAGGTGCCCGGAGCCTCCAGCCCGCCCCCAGGCCAGGAGCAGCAGAACATGCAGGGTGAGCCTCCCCCTCCCAGGACCACTGCCCTCACCGTCAAAGCCTTCAGGGGGCCCAGCACAGAGGCCCGGCCGGGGCAGGAGCGCCGGGGGTGACATGGACACCTGCTGGAGGGGCCCTCTGGCCCCGGATGCCATGCCCTCCAGCTGTTCTGAATCTGGGCCTGCGGACGGAGGAGCCAGGCTGTGCTCAGAGCTGAGGGGCGTGGGCGCAGAGCAGGAGGTGTGCCAGCCCCCGACTCCCAACCAGCTCTGCCCTGGGACCCCAGCACAGCATCAGCATGTGCCTCCCACACCAGCGGTCACCACAGGGCCTGCCAGCATGGTGGGGCCACTCACCTGCTTCGCAGGTCAGGGGGGCCCCGGGAGCACCCTGGACACTGCAGAGGCAACAAGAGAGGCTGTCAGTGTGTGTGGGGGAGGCAGGGGCCCAGAGAGGCCTAGCAGGTTCAAGTGAAGGCAGACACTTGCCTTTCTGGGGAGCGCCCCTCATGGGGAACCAGAATGTCCCAGAGGAAGATGGCGTCTCCCACGCTGAGGAGCTGCTGCTGGTCGGGGGTGAAGGCCACGGCCCGCACTGGCTCCGAGTGGCCAATGTACACCTGGGGCGGTGGTGTCGCGCAGACCTGAGGAATGGCCCTCGCGCGGGGTCAACCCAGAGCGCCGGGGGCTGTCCTCCACCCTGCTGTCCCACCTGCCCAGGACACACACCTGGCAGCTGGGGCCGGCCTGCACCGCGTAGTCCCACAGCCTGACAGCCCGCTCAGCGGCTGTGAGCAGAAAGCGCCCGTCCGCACTGAGGGCCAGGGAGGCACAGGCCGCAGGACGGCCACAGGACAGCTGCGGGAGAGCGCACTTGCTGCGAGGAAACGTGGGTGCACCCAGGACCGCTGGCCGGGGGAGCCCTCCCCAGAGCGCTGCCACCCGGGCGCAGCAGGCAGCCCAGGGCTGCCCCGCCGCGGGCGCTGCGGGCTACAAGGCCGGAACCGGGAGGAAGGGGGCCAGGCCGCCAGCCTCGGCCCGAGCTCACCTCCCGGACCACGCGGCCCGATCTGGCATCCAGCACGGCGATCGTGTTTGAGGAGGTGGACACCAGCAGGTGGCCGGGGGGGGAGGGGCCAAAGCAGAGGGCCACAGGCGAGTCCAGGCAGCTGCCAGCCAGGTTCAGGGTGCTTACGTCAACCCTCAGAAGCTGCGGGGGAGTAAGTATTGCCCCCATGAGCTCCAGGCGGAGCTGGAGCCCCCGAGCCGAGGCCCAGGTGGTGGGCAGCCGTGGGCACTCTGCCCTGCCCAGCCACCCACAGCTCACATGTCCTCTCTGCAATGAGTGTGGCCTCCTGCCCACAGGAATGACCCAGCCATTAGGGTCAGGGGTGCCCACAGATCCCGGGCACCCTCAGCAGACACACGCAGGGCTCCAGCTAACTCACCTCATCCAGCGAGGCTGCGTCCACAACGCTCACCGTGTATTTGCAGGGACCAACGAAGGCCAGGAGGCGGCTGTCCCCACTGACCACCAGGACGCTGGAGCTGGGGCAGGCCTCCTGGCACACCACGTTAGCTGCCAGCATATAGAGGCGGGCAGTCAGCTGAATAGGGCGGGCCCCACGGCAGTGTGCACTGCCGGAGCACTGGGACTCTCCCAGTGACCACCCAGAGACCGCCTGGCCGGCCCGAGACACAGTGTCCGAGGAGGCTGGCCCTGCCCCCTGTTGCTCAGGCTACAGGCGATCACCCCTTCCTGGTGCAGGGCGGGCACACACTGATCTCTCACTTCCGCGGTGCTGGGCAGTCCTAAGACCACACCTGGCCCCGTGGGTCTATGAGTGAGGCTACGGGCCACAGCGCCACAGTCAGGGAGGTACTGGGAGGCCCACGCGGGGCTGGGCGTGGGGGCCTGACCTGCCACTCGCAGGATGCGGCACCGGGGCGCGCCACTGTGGTACTGGGCCAGGGTGCCCCGGGAACAGGTGCTGAACAGGAAGCGACCGTCAGGGCTGGTGGCCAGGCCGGTGATGGCTCCTCGGTGACACCTGCCCCACACAGAAAGGTGTGCAGACGCTCACAGGGTGTCCAGGGGCAGCGGAGGGCGGGCTCTCCCAGAAAGCCCACACTCCAGCCCGGCATCCACCGCGGGCGTCTGTGGGGCAGGCCCGCCTGGGCGCCCACCTATGTTCCACCAGGACCTCGGCGGCTTCCAGGCTAAAGGAGCGGACGGCCCCGCTGCTGAAGCCACAGAAGAAGGTCGGCTGCGTGGGGTGGAAGACAACAGCACGCGGGGCCTCCTCGGGCGACGCGAAGTCATACAGCTGGGGGGGAAGGGGGTAGCCGCATGAAGGTGGACAGCAGGACCCCGAGAGCCAGTCTCCCCAGGGGGCTTGCACCTCGGGCCGCCCGCCTGCGGCCTCCAGACCGCCCTCCTAGCCGGCGCCCCTCTGGCCACACCCCACCTGCTGCAGGGTCGCCAGGCCCCAGACGCGCACAGTGTGGTCCTGGGACACGGTGGCCAGCTGTCCCCGGCTGCGCTCGGTGGCAAGGGCCAGCACCGGGGCGGTGTGCGAGCGCACCAGCACGCTGTACGCCTGCGACGGGACGTCCAGGAAGCCCAGGTGGCCCGAGGAGGTGGTGGACAGCACACGCAGGCCGCCGGGGCTGATGCGGACGGAGGTGACGGGGCCCTCGTGCTCTGCAGGCAGGGGGCTCAGTGACCACCGGGCCTGCAGTGGGGCAGGTCCCGCACCAGGGCCCACCCAGGCAGGCTGACCACAGTCAGGCTGTACCAACCCCTAGCCCCTTGTCCAGAACAGCAAGAAGTGCATTTTCCTGCTGCCTGGAGCCCCCTCTCCCTCTGACCTAGGACCAGCACCGCCCCCGTGACCACCCACTCCCAGGTTCAGGACACGGCCCTGTGGAGCCCCACGCTGTCCAGCCTGGGGACATGGCCCTCCTGTGCCAACCCTGGGGCGAGGTGGTGTGCAGGCCCCACCTGCCTCCAGGAGAACGGAGGAGAAGTCCAGCGGCCAGAGGCGCAGGTAGCCATCCTCGGAGCCCACGGCGCACGCGGACTGGGAGACGCTGAGGCTGCTGATGGCGATGCCGGGGCCTGGGTGGGGGGAGCCAGGTCAGCCCCCAGCAGCAGGACCCCTCCCCCTGCACAGCAAGGCCCACCTACCCAAACTGAAGGTCTGCTTCTGTGCGAGGGGGTCACGGGGGTTCTGCAAGGGCAGGAGACGGCGAGCATGCCTCACGGCCATGCGCTGGTGGTCGATTTCCAGGATGTGGCCGCTGCGGCTGCACACATAGCTGCCAGGGAGCGGCAGGTGAGGGCTGTGGGCACCACGGGCGGGGCGCCAGGCCTTCAGGGAAGAGGGCGGGGGGTGGGGTGCTCACAGAGTGTGGCCATCCTGGGCTGGCCCAAAGGCCAGGTCAGTGAACTCCAGCGCGTGATGCTCCCCCAGGTCCACAGCGCAGGAGCGCAGCGCCCCACCTCGGAGCCGCCACAGCCGCACACTGCCCCGCCCGCACGACGCCATCCTGCAAGGGTGGGAGGTGAGCGGGGTGAGGGGCAGGCTCACGACTCAGTGGCCCCAGCACCCAGAGAGGGCGGGCGATCACCTGGCTTCGTCAAAGAAGGCCACTTGGAACGCCTGGACATCAGCGTCACTGTGCGCCTTCGCAAGGATGATGGCCTCTCCGCCTCTCCCCAGCTGGGCCATGCCCCACACCAGCACCGTCTGCAACAAGCCTGCACTGAGTGCCCACCCTCCCGCCCACCCAGCCTCTCCAGCAGAAGCCAGAGGAACCTGCCATGCCCACCCAGGGTGTCCACAGATGTGTGTCTGCAGAGAGGAGCAGAAAACGCAACCACAAGTGGAGGGGAGGCCCCAGGGGGAACACCCAGCTTCAGAGACACTGGCGTGAAAAAACATCCATCTCAGGTCTGCAGAACTCGCCAGCAAAGAGAACAAGACCAGTCACTCAAAAGACAGCTCCATCCACAAGGGCGAGACAGATGCCCTGCGAAGTGTGTGACGTGGGGGTGCCCGGCCAGGATGGGGTAGGCCAACGGGGGTCCCTGCCACCTGCCTGTACCCTGGGACGGCTGCCCCACCTCCCCGCCAGCCCAGTTACCGTCCGCCCGTGGCGGTCCTTGCCAACGCCGAAGAGCAGCTCCCCGCTGTTGGAGAAGCTGTGGACAGAGGCGACAGTCAGCGTCACAGGGGCTGGCCCCCACACCCCCCGGAGGCCCTGCACCCACCTGAGGGAGCAGACGGTGTGGACCGGGCTCCGGAACAGGGCCAGGCAGCTCCCTGTCTGGAAGTCCCAGAGATGCAGCATGCTGTGGGGCCAGGCCTGGGCAGAGGCCAGCAGCGAGCCGCTCCCGTCCAGCGCCAGAGCAGAGACCTGGGGGCAGGGAGTTAGGGAGGGTATGGGCCAGCAGACCAGGCTGCCCCAGGCCAGGGCTGCCCACCTTCTCTGTGTGGCCAAGGAAGAGACGCTGCTCCCGGGTTTCGACGTGCAGGACGACGATGATCGCGTGGCAAGGGTACACGACAGCAGCCCCATCCGGGGTCCACAGGGCCTGCAAGCAGGGGCCAGAGGCTGAGGTCACAGGCTTGTCAGCTTCACTCCCCACCACCCGTGAGCCTCCCGAGGCATAAGCACAGGAGTCACTGCGTTGCTTGAGCCAAAAGGGCAGAAAAAGCCCAGTCACATGTGGGCACGGCAGGCCTCCCGCTAAGCAAGAAACTATGGGGTTCAACTAACAAGAGCCCGAGAGCCCACAAAGACTCAGAGCCCACATCCAGGACAGCCTGGTGAGCACACAGCCACCTCTCCCGCGGCTGCCTCCACAGGGACCCTGTCTTGTCCACACCAAGGCCCACTCGGCTGGATGACATGCATCCAAGACTTAAAGGATGAACAAGGGTCTCAGGTTTCTCAAAGCTCGAGCATCTGGACCAGCACCGCCCTGGCTGGTGCTCACAACACAAAGGGCCGCCTGTGTCTGGACATCAAAGCACCAAGGAGGCACCAGGTGTGTGTGGATGCGGGCGGGGCTGGGTGACCACAGCAGTGCAGGGACCCAGTGCCTAGGGGAGCTCAGAGGTTCACGCAGCCAAGGCAGGGAAACGCGGCGTCTGCCTGCTGTCTGCTCGGTGTAGCTGATGCTTGTAGGACCCAACAAGAGCACAGAACTCCTCACCCATTTGGTGCTATGACCCCCAAAGCCGATGACCCCCTTGAGCCTCAGGATCGGATCTGGGAGGAAGCTCTGAAACAGGCAGACGTACAGTGAGAGCCAGGTGGCAAGGTCCCTGTTGCAGCAGGGCTGCCCCGCCCAGAGCCAGTTCCAGCCTCCCAAGAAAGTCACCCAGTCCTGAGCTCCTGCCAGCCACTCTGCGGCAGGAAGCCAGAACTGCAGTCACCGTGCTGGACCCTCCAGGTGCCCCATTCCTGAGGTCCCCCTGCAGACCACTGGGGCTGGGCACCGACTCTCTTACTCCTTCTTGAAAATGCTTCTTGCCCAAAGCTGCCTCCGGTAAGTTCTGCTTCCTGCCAGGAGGCTGGATGGGAAGGGACCGTCAGAGGGGACCACCCACCCCTTGCCCGTTCCCCGCGGGCAGCATCCCAGCAGCCCTCCATCCACTGCTCATCCCCACATGGCTCCCTTGGGGGCGCAGTCCAGCCCCACCTTCCTCGGGAAGGCACGCACCTCATGTGGAGCTGCATCCTCTGGGGCCATGGGCTTCGTCGCCTGATGGGCAAACACGTGAAGGCCGTCACTGGCTGCATGCTCGTCAGTGGTCTCCACCCAGGCCGAGGGCTCCTGGCTACAGCCACCAGGGCCAGCCACACTGGAGACCTCTGAGCGCTCACAGGACACACGGACCTCCGGAAGGGGCCTGGGCATGGCGGAGGCCCAGCGGGACTGCAGGAGGACAAGTGCCCATGAGCACTCTGCCTGAGGCCAACACCCCCAGCCCCACCTCCGAGGGCACCGGGCACTCACGGCTGTGGGGTCATGCTTCTGGACCACCAGGGCCCTGAGGTCCCGCGCAGGTTTGCTGCAGGCTGCTGGGGAAGGGAGCAGCCGCGGTACGTGCCCCGCTAAGACAGCAGTGGAGAAGAACTGACTGAGCAGAGTGCAGACAGGCACAAGGCACTGGGCGGGGCAGCAGGGGGCCCGGCCTTGCCCACTCTGCAGGAGAGGAGCCAGGCTGACAGCAGCAGCCCGCCCTAGCAGGGGCCCCAACACCCATCCCAGCAGGAAAGTTTGAAGCCCCAAGCACTCAAGTCACAATCTACCGCTGCTCCAGGGCTGCCTCCCCGCGCCCTTGCAGGCACCACACTGCTGGGGTCACCTCCCCAGATGCAGCATCAGGCCCCCTCTCTTGCTGAGCACCATGGGCCCTGCAGACCTGAACCCAGTCACTGCTGCCCCACAGGCCCACCTGCCTCAGGAGGGAAACCGCTCTTCTGCACCAGCTCGGAGGGCGCGTGCGAGCTACCGCTCGGAAACCTCGGCAGGGTAGAGGGAGAGTCAGCTTCTGGGACAGCCCTGCCCTCCCTGCGCCTGGGACGGCAGAGGCACTCACCGGATGTGGACGTAGCGATCATGCCAGCTCTCCCCCTTTGGCACCGGGAAAGCCATTTCTCGAGGTATGGGGGTGACAGGCAGTTTTGCGCGCCGGGCTTCAGCAACAGTGATGGCTGCAAAGAGCAGAGTTGGTCCAGGTCCAGGGAACCATCCAGGCCCTTCTCCCAGTCCAGGGGTCTCAATACCAGGGGCTAGCAGGGTCCCACCTGGTCACCAGCCCAGCCACCACTCCCTCTGACAGCTGCCTCGGAGCTGGGAGGCTCAAACTGGCACAGCATGGGCATTTTCACGGAGTGCCAGGGATGGAGCGGAGGGTGGCACCCAGAGAGCAAAAGCAGGTGGGCTGCAGGCTAACACAGCTGTGGCCCTCACCAGGGTCGAAGCTCAGGTCACTAGTGTAGAGGCTCCGGACCAGCATGCTGGCACACAGCCTGACGCCCTTCAGATGACTGTAGCATCGATGCAGGTAGACCAGCAGGATGTCGTGCAGGTCAAGCTGCAGGCAGGTCCAGCGGGCACCAGGGAAGGCCACACCTGGCAGGTGTGCAGGACTCATGCCAAGGTCAGCACCGGCCACAGCACTGTGTCCTCGGCCTGTTCCCAGTCTCACGGCCACAACCACGTGACCCCCAACCAGACCTCCCCCTGAGCCTTCTGACTGGACGCCTCTCCCAGACCATCCCCTTGTCCCACTCATGCCTCATCTGCACGTTACCTTCCCTGGGTGTCCCAGCCTCACAAATGAAAGGGAATTGAAGCCACGTAGCTGTGGACTTGAACTCCTTGAAGAGATTGGAGAAGGACACTCGGATGACCTGGCTGTCCTGTGGGACACAGCGTGGACATGAGGGGTCGAGGCTGCTGCAGGAGTGCGGGGCAGGCCCTGGGCAGCCTCCGCCTCCCAGGTCGGCACCTCAGTGGACACATCCAGGTGAATGACGAAATGCTTGGCAGGCAGTGGCCGAAAGAGCACGTACAGGTACCGTCCGTTCAGCCCCAGGGACTGGGTGCTGGTTTTGGGGAGCTGGATGTAGTTGCTCGCAGAGACAGAGCCCCGCACGCGGTACACGGTGCACTTGAGAGTCTTGTCCTGGAGAGAGAGAGACGTCTTGCAGACGTCCTGCAGCCCGGGGAGGCCAGGAGGGCTGCAAACAAACGTCCGGGGAGAAGAGAGGAGAGGCCGCCGCTCCCGCCGCCGGGCGCCCCGGCCACTCACCGTCACGGCGGCCACGTCGCCCTCCTTAGTGGAGCGCTTCCACTCGTCCACCTTGAAGTGTCTGAAGACGTTGAGGAACGGCTGCTGCCACACTGGGGGACAACGGGACATGAGGTGCCAGGCGCACCGCAGGTCCAGGGAGGGCCCGGCAGGGCCTGCGCGCTCCCCAGCGGTGACGGTCAGCGCGGCGCGCGGACTGGGCTGCGACCGAGTCTCAGCACCAACCCGTGCGCGGCGGCGCCGGCCCTTGGATCCCAGACCCCCGCCCCGGGCCCATGTCCGCGCGCCGCTACCTCGCGCCATGACGCCGCAACTCGCACTTCCCGCTTCTGCCGACGCGCACCGCACGCAGGGCACGCAACGCGTGCCTAGCAACAGAAGCCTGGCAACGGCGCCACCGACGCTGCACGGCGGCAGGTACGTCACCGCGCCTGACACGTGACCGCGGCACAGGGCGGGGCCTGGCGCGGGGCCAGTCCCCAGTGTGCCCGGCTACCTCTCCTCTGGTCGCCCCGGGTTGATGTGCAGCCACTTCTCTACTGCTGTCTTGCCACGGGGCAGGACCCTCCGCCCCCGGGCCTCTGCGGCCATCCCCAGGCCGGGACCCCGTGGGCATGCCCTAGCACCCCCGGCACCCCCGCTGTGAGGTCTGATCAGGGAGGTTCATGACGCTGAGTCCCATGTTCGCGATGGGAGTGACACGCAGCCCAGAAATCCTGACCGCACTTGGCGGGGGCGGTCCTCCCCTCCCCTCCCCTGCTGCTGCCCAGCCCTCTGGAGACACTTATGTCAGCTGCCGGCCCCACAGGACCCCGAAGGCTCCCCGCCAGACCTGGGGGGTTCAGATACGACAGCAGGCGTCCTGAAACCTGACCCCAATTCTGGGTGGCTGAGACTCCATCTCAGGGTCAGTTAAGTAACATTTCTGGATCTTGAGAGCAGGTTTCGACACCCGACAATGATTACAGGGAGAGGAAGGGAGCATGGGTGTCAGTGGGGGGTCAGCTGGCATTTACAGACTTCTATGCCAAATGACCTGGCCCAAAACACAGGAAGGCAGCTGGGCAGGAGGCTAGGTGCCAGAGTTGGACAGAGCTTCAGCTGTGGGGAAAGGAGGCCTCAGAACAAGTCGTGCCAGGCCTAGGGCCCGGACACGAGCACCTCTCCCCCGCCCACTCCCCACAGCCCACCGAGTCAGGGCCTCTCCAAAAGGCAGTTTCTCAACTTTATTAGCCTGGAGCTCCTCTCTGCCAGCCCCATGGGCTGGTCCCCGGGCACAGTGAGCAGGACTGAGGTCAGACAGTTTCAACCCCTGGCCCCCGGCAGCCTGGAACAGCTGGGCCAAGGGGTCAGCAGGGGCAAAAGTCCAAATGCTGGCACTTCAGGTGTGGCCGGCGCCTGGCCAGGCCCAGAGTGAAGCACGGCCTGCCTCAGCGGGTAGACAGGGCGCCGTGGTCCTCTCCTGGCAGAGGGTCCAGCGTGGGGCAGGGCCAGGCCCTACACAAGACAGCCTTCCTTCCAAAGCTGCGACTAGGAGCAGTTGGTGATCCTGGCCAGGAACTGCTGTGCCCACCACTCGTCCAGGTCGATGGGCACGAAGTCTGTGGAGAAACAGAAGGCTGGGCAGTGACACACCTTCCCGGCGGACCAGCGTGCATCCCCCCTCCAGCTGGCCACAAGCCCCTCACCCAGATCCCAGCTGTAGCAGACACTGGGAAGAGTGGATCAGGTTCCATTCCTCACCCCACCCCCTTGGGGCTAGAACCTAGCTGAGCCAGGTCAGGAGTGAAGGGGGGGTTGCTCCTTGCGGGTGGGGGAGGGCTCACTCTGCAGCCGGGGGTTGGGGGTCCTCTCCACATACTGCACAGGCCTTGGCCCGCTCTCACCGGCCGGGCCACCACCCAGCTGCTGCTCCACTTGCTGCCAGGCTGTGGGGAGAGGACAGTCAGACTGAGCCAGGCCCCCGGCACCTTCCCACACCAGTGGCTAGCCTGGACCCCTGCCCAGAGCTGGGAACGGGAACAGGCGGCCTGCTGGACGGTCACAGGATAGACGGGCCCAGAGCCCAGGTACGTCCCAGCCCTCCAGCGACTTCAAGTTCAGGTTACAGTGGGAAGGGGACCAGTGGCCTGGGCCATTCCCTCGGGCCTCAGCGCTACCTTCTGACACAAATCGGACGTTCTCCTCGTGGGCCAGTGTGTAGGGCTCCTGGGTTCCCTCGAAGGATGGGGACGTGGCAGGCGGCCGGCGGCCATTCACCCGATTGAACACGAGCCTCGGCCCTGGACTGTGGGAAGGCGAGGAGACACTCAGCCACGTTCCCAGGCCAGGTGCTACCTGGCAGAGCTCCTGGAGCAGCCGCAGGCCACCCTGCCCCACAGGCCAGGCCCAGTCGGGGCACGTCCCTGAACCACAGGGCAGCTGTGGGCTGCAGCCAGTGGCCGAGGCCTTTCTCCTGCAGACCTACACCCAACAGCTCAGCTCACACCTGCAGCCCCTGGCCCTGAGGCAGGTCTAAGTCTGCAGAGGGGCTCTATGTCCCCAGATCCCCGCAGAGCCCCATGCTCAAGGCACACAGACGGCCCCCCATGGGTCTCTCAGGAACCTCCACTGCCACCTGCCTCCCACCTCCCCACTGACGGGCCAGGCCTCCAGCAGCCCAGGTTCTGACGTGAGTGAACAGGTTTTGCGGCCATACCCCGCCCCCACCCCGCCCCCAGGCGTAGTTCTTGGTCACTTTCTCCCCCACAGAAGCCTCTTCATCTCAAGATGCCCCAGGATGGAAGGAAGGACCCGAAGGAGAGCAGGTGGACTTTGCCCTTCGCAGCTGCCCCGGCCCCAGAGACAGCTCCTGGTCTGGCTAGACAGTGCCAAGTGCTGAGTGGGCCATCTTGAGTGGGGAGGGCGACTGTGGCCCTGGTCCACCCCTGCAGCTTCCAGGCAAGGACTGTGCTCTTGCCCACAGGGCAGGAATGCTGAGTGCGGAGATGGCCCTGGGTGCTGGAACCTGGCCTGGTGGGCATTCAATGTCCAAGTGGCCACTGGGCCCACCCCGGCCAGCCGGGCCCAGGGCATGGATGGTCTGCCCTGGCCGGAGGCAGCTGGCCCAGCCCTGCACACATGAAGCCCCGGACAGGGCCGTGGAGGGAGCGGGGCCCACACCTACAGCAGGAGGTGGGAGCCGGGAGTCCTGGGCTGCACGTGCCACTCCGCCAGGCACTCGCGGTCCCGCCGGCCTGCTCGCCATCCTGGGCTCAGGTGCCCCACCGCCGCGCGGGGTTCCTCCTCAGCTGAGAGGGGCACTAAAATAAAGAGGAGCATCCTGAGGGGCACCAGTCCCACCAGCTCCAGGCTGGCAGGTCGGGTGGCCACAGAGAACGTGGATGGGCAGGGCTGCTCCCAGGCTTGAGCGATACCAACCAGTGGGCGTGGATGTCTGTCCTCAATTGGGACAGCCCCTCGCCTGCCTGCTAACCTTACCCCTGCAAGGCCACAAACACCAGGAAAGTTGGAGACTAAGCATCCAAGAAGGAAAAAAAGAATTGCAGTCAAAGGCTACAAACTGCGAAGTACTTAGAGGGTGGTTTCCCTGGTGGTTCAGTGGTAAAGAATCCACCTGCAATGCAGGAGACCCAGATTCAATTCCTGGAGGAGGATCCCCTGGAGAAGGAAATGGCAACCCACTCCAGTATCCTTGCCTGGAGAGCCCAGTCCATGGGGCCACAAGAGTCAGACACGACTTAGTGACTCAACCACCAGAGGGTGGCCTGGCTGGGGCTGAGAAGGGGCTCAGGCTGGCACCTGCCCGCCCCCTGCTGGCAGTTACGTAAGGCGGCTCCATGGGCCCTCTGGAAGAAAGGGCACTGCTCCCTTTGGTGCGCCTATGGTCGAGTCTGGTGCCACCCCCACCTCCACTCTCGTGCCAGCGCCCAGGGTCACGGTCCACTGGCAGGCCCCACCCACGGCAGCAGCGGCTCTGGACTCCCTGCTCAGGGCCTGCCAACTAGGGCCTCCTCTTCATCCCCTTCACTATCCTCCAACGTAGACCACACACATGTTTTCAGCCCAGACTCAAAAGAGAAGTGACTTCTCCAGGGTCACACATGGTGAGTGGACAGCAGCATCAGAACTGTATGCGTGTCTGAGCCCAAAGCCCATGAGGCAGTGCAGCTCCCAAGTCGCCTCCCCCATCAGCCTGCATCCCCTGCACCATCAGCTGGTCACAGGGTTCCATGTGCTCTTCTCCCCGAAAGCAGGTCTTACTCTCTCTGGCTCAGAGGGAGAAAGCTCATCAAGAGGCCCAGACTCACACAGCCTGTTCACCACCATGGGCAGCGCCTAGACCCAAGCCCAGTCAGGGGCAGACGCCTGGGGCACCCGTGGTGCTCCAGGCACAGAGCACCCCCAGTTGCTCAGACTCCTCCTTCCCCAGCAAGCCTGGCTGAGGAGGGGTGGACGGGAAGTCTGGGTGGAGTGATTTTGATGGGCTCCCCCCCCCCAGAAGTTTCAGGAGCAAGGCTGGGGGTTCCTGTGTGGGAGACCTGTAGGTGCTCTGGCCTCCCAGTGGGGGCTCGCCCCTGAGGCTGGGAGGGGATTGGCTCAGGGAAGGAGTGACTTCAGAGGGAAGGGGGGACGGCACGACCAGCACAATCTGCCTTCCTGCTGACCCCCTGCCAGACGGGACTGCGGAGGCGGGGGCCGAGCACCAGCACCCCCGACCGGGACCTGGCTGGCTGCAGCCCCTTGTCTCTTCCATCTCTCCCAGGACCCGGACCCTGCACACACCGCACGCTTCCTCCCCCACTCCCCGGCAAAGGTGCATGGAGAAAGCACAAGCTTCTCCAGGTAAGACAGTGGGGGCTTACTGCCTGGGTGACTGGGCCTGGGGCCAACACACCTGTGCCTCGTTTCCCTCCCTGGGGGGCAGGGCGGCTGAGGATCAGACTGACGTCACAAGGCAGGGTCACAGCACAGTGGGCCCCGGGACACGCCCCCCACGGCCGCAGGCACCCCTCTCCCCAGGAGGCGCTTGTGGTCCTCACAGGACCAGCCTCAGAGTGTCAGCGTGCTCCCAGCAGGAGGCCACCGGAAAGGGCCTCAGCCTACACGGGTCTCATGGGCTGCCCCTACCTGTGGCATCTCAGGCCGGTACTGAGGGGGAGGGCAGGTTGAGGGCGCGCAGCAATACAGCCCCCAGCTCTTACCAACCCGGAGGTCGTCTATCCTCAACTAGAGAAGAAATCCCAAGGCTTGTCAGTGCTGCCCCCACCCACCCACAGCCCACAGGAGCCTCAGGCCTGTGTGGCCTGGACCAAGCCCTGGGCCCTGAGCCTGCAGAGAATAAGTAAGACCAGAGACAGGACCCGAGCCAAAAAGTTACAGGTTCAGTCCCGGAGGTGGAGGCTCTGACCTCCTGGGCACAGTGACTTGGAGGCCACAGTGGTTGAACTGAGGCTCTCAGCAAAACTGCTGGTCAGGAAAGGCAGAAAAGCGCCGGCGGGTGCTCGGGGAGAAGGCGGAGGAGAGCAGCGGCCTGGCAGGGCCCAAGGGAACCACGTGCACCTCTCCCCCGCTGCTCGGCCAGCTCGGGGCTGGCAGCCTCCGGCGGCGGCCGCTCCCGCCCTCTGGGGCGAGTCCGCGGCAGCTTCTTTCAAAGCTTGGCCTTCGCCGCCCAAGGTCGGCCCGGGCACCTGACTCAGCCGCCTGGAGCCCCTAAAATCCAGAAGCCGGTCGGCTTCCTCCCGACGCTGGGTGCATGGGGCCCCAGGGCTCGGAGGTGTGTCACGCACCCCCAGCCCAATCCCCTCCGACCCAACCAGGTGCCAGGTGAGGCGGAAGCGCGGAGTCGCGGTTGCGAACCGCAGGCGGGCCGGGTCCGCGGGCTCCGCCCCCTCCGCGCCCTCCGGGAGCATGTGGCCCGCGCTCCGCTAACCTTTCCCCAAGGTCACCCTCGCGGCCCCGCGGCGGCCGGCGGGGGAGGGGAGGGCCGCGCGTCTCACCTCGACAGGGGCCAGGGGCCCGGCGGCTGTGCCCGCGGGTGCTGCGGGATCGGCGCGGAATGCCGGCATTTCAGGAGCTCGCCGAGCCTGCTCTCCACCTGCTGCTGCGTCGGACCTGCGGGCACCGGGAGCGCGCGTCAGCAGCCGGCGCCGCGCCGGGGGCGGGCAGCATGTGCGGACCCCCGCCCGCCCCCTCGCTGCCTTGCCCGCCTCTGCCGCGCACCTGTGCGCCGCTGCGCGACCAGCTTGCTGGGTCCCTTGGTGATGGTGTACATGGTGCGGAGGGGCCGCAGCGCGCCCGCGCCTTCCGCGCCCTCCCCGCCCGCCGGCCCGCGGCCAGATCTCGCGCCCTCCGCCCGGCTGGCACTCGGCTGGCGCCGTGGGAGCGGCCCCTTTAACAGGCGGCCGGCGCCGCGGGGAGGGGGCGGGCCCGTCGCACACCCCCGGACCTTAAAGGGCCCGCGCCGAGGCTCGCGGCAGGGGTGGTGCTCAAGCCTTGGGGAAACTGGCGGGACCTCCGGAGAGGTCTGAGGGCGGAGTTTAAGCAAGTTTCGCAGGGCCCGGGCCGCCGTCCGCCACTGGAGGAGGCGCGGGGGGCGGTGGGGGGGGGGGGGGTGCGGCACGGGCACCCAGACGTGGCGAGGCTCTGGCTCAGGCCCTCGTGGGGTCGGCGGTGGTGTCCCAGGAGCCGAGGCGTTGACAGGCGCTGGGAAAGATCTGTGTGTACCCTGGAAGCAAGGGTGTCCCCACGCACCGCACGTCGGAGACCCTCCGCCAAGGTGCCTGGGCCGGCCTGGGCCACTGCTGTTCACTCACACGCGACTGAGGGGGGGTCAAAGATGAGAACAACGGGTCGGCCCCCGGGTTTGGGCAGAGACATGGCACCCTGGGGATCTCCATTTCACCCCACGGGACAGGAGCACGGTACCGTCTGCCACGTGTGCGCCTGCAGACCCCAGGGAGGCGGGAGGGAGGCTCCCAGGGAGGAGCACCCTGGGTGCTGGGGGGTGCAGAAGGCAAGTGAAGGAGCCCAGCTTGCGTGTCATCCCGCTCGGGAGAAAGAGCACTTACTCCTCCACCCCCCAGGCACTGGGGTCTGGACGCAAGACATACTTCAGTGCCTCAGGAGGAACCAGAGGAGAGGGGAGAGCATGCCCAGGGCATGAGCACAGCCCCCACGCTCAGCCACGCTGGGCCCCCTTTCCATCCCTGGGGCCCATCTCCCGCCCCTCCCCCCAGCTATGTCAAGGCCAGCACGGTCCTGCGTCATCTGTGCTGGCGGCCCTGGCCTGTTCAGTGGCCTCGAGCACAATGCCAACCCACGCTGGGGAGACTTTGAAGGGTGAGGGGCCTAGGGGTGGGGAGGGTCTCTTCCAGAAGGCAAATGCTCTGGGCAGGAGGAGCCAGGCCCTGGGCTGACACGGAGCTGAGCGCTCCTCCTCTCATGGACACCCCCTCAGGCCAGCGAGGAGAGGACCCTATTGATGGGCAGGCAGGCTTGGCCTTGATGGTGGGCAAGGCTGCTATACCCTAGTGTCCCAGCCCTGCCCCTGGCCCTTGTCTGAGGTCAAAGGTTGGGTCCAGAGCCCTTAGAAAGACTCCAGGGGAAAGCCACAGAAGAGGAATTGTCCTGCCAAGTGAGAGGGGAGGGGGTGCAGGACAGGCTGGGGGCAGGGGGGTGAAGGAACCCAGAGGGCCCCCAAAGACACTGAGCTGGGGGAGCAGGCAGCCAGGGGGAAAGAAGGCCAGGTTGTAGGGGGCAGGCAGCACAGCCCTGACACCTGTGTGCAGGAGGGCAGAGCCTATCTCCCAACCCCCACAGCCACCCAGGGGCCTTCCCAGACTCCCTGCTGCCAGAACTCAGCCTGAGCACCTGACCCACCCTGACTTGGGGACAGAGCCAGGAGGCACGGGGAGGGCCCAGCCTGAGCCGGGAGAGGTCGGGGTCTAGTCGGTCTGCGACCAAGAGCTCAGGTCGGTTCTCCAGTTGGGGTAGGAAGCCTGGCCAATCTGGCCTTGCCTGGACTACACTGTCCATGACAGTGAGCAACCTGCTAAGCCCCCAGAGATAGCATCTTGCAGCCGGCAAACATTCCCTACTGTCAGAGAGGCTGGGAACCCAGCCCAGAGTCAGTCACAGGCAGCTGAATAGGAAGCAGGAGCCTCACCCAGCAGCCAGCCACAAGCCCAGAAACGCCTGGAGCCACACAGAGAACATGGGCGTCGTAACAAGCAGGGACCTTTACCTTACTGACTACAGTTAACCCTAATGAAGACATTAGGGTTTTTCTGTTCTTTGCTGTTGTTTAGTCACTCAGTTGTGTGATTCTTTGCAACCCCATGGACTGTAGCCCACCAGGCTCCTCTGTCTCTGGGATTCTCCAGGCAAGAATACTGGAGTGGGATGCCATGCCCTCCTCCAGGGGATCTTCCCAACCCAGAGATAAAACCCGCGTCTCCTGCATTGGCAGGCAGATTCTCTACCGCTGGGGAAGCCCTTCTCTTCTGCGTGTGTCAGTTGCTCAGTCGTGTCCAGCTCTTTGTGACCCCATGGACTATAGCCTGCCAGGCCCCTCTGTCCATGAAATTCTCCAGGCAAGCATATTGCAGTGGGTTGCCAGTTCCTGCTCTAGACTTTCTCTTCTAAAAGGCTCTAAATATGATACTGAAATTTCGTATTAGAGGAGAAAGTTTAAGTTTTCAGCCATCCTCAGTCACTTTGTAGATCTGAAGTTCATGCCCTCACCAACCCAGACTGGAGGATGGGCTTCTGCCAACAAAGCGTGGTCAGTGGCCCCAGGAAAAGCTCTGGCAGGTGCTCCCGTACCTGCCACCAAGTGTCCAGGGATTGCCCATCCCTTTTTGTTTGTTTGGCTGCAGCTTGTAGGATCTTAGTTTCTTGATCGGAGATTGAGCCCCGGTTCTGGGAGTGAGAGCACGGAGTCCTAGCCACTGGACTGCCAGGGAATTCCTAGGGCTTGCCCATTCCCACACCCAAGTACAGTGAGTTGAACAGTGGCCCCTCAAAGAAACACCACCTGGAACCTCAGAAAATGACCTTCTTTAAAATAATGGTCTTTGCAGATATAGTTAAAGCAAGGGATTTGAGATAAGGTCATCCCAGATTAGAGAGGGCCCTAAAATCCAGTGAAGCCTGTCCTTGGGAAAGGAGAGAGTCGTATCCTCCCATTGTGTGAAAATTGTATAAATCCTAATTATGTCAAATTGGTTCATAGTGCTTTTCAGGTCTACTCTATCCTTCTACGTGTCTATTCATCCTATTAATTTTTTAAATTCTACTAATTTCTAAGAGTTTGATATTGAAACTCCAACTAAAAATCTTACTTTATCTACTTAAGAAAATAATTGTCATATATAGTGAAACTTTATATTTTCCAAGTATCCTGTAAATGTGTTATCATACTTTTATAACTTAAAAAAGAAAAAAAAAATTTAAATAAAGATAAAAAGGAGAGGGGTATTAGGACACAGAGAGACCCAGAGGAGAGATGGCAGAGAGGCAGCCACAAGCCCGGGAGTGCCTGGAGCCACAGAGGAGCAGGAAGCTGTGCTGACGAAAGAGCTTCCGGTAGGGCCGATGGGGAGCCGACATCTTTATTCTGGACTTCTGGCCTGCAGAATTGTGAGAAAGGAAACTGTTGTTTGGAGCCACCACACTTTGGAGTAATTTGTTACTGTAGCTCTGGAAAATCAATATACTGAGAGAATCAGTAGTGGGTGAGCACCCGGGGTACACACTGCAGGGCTCGGGAGGCAGCTCAGCAGGTGGTGGGCACCTGGGCCTGGACCCCAGGAAGGACACTGGACGCCGCTGCTGGCTCTGGACATCATGAGTCAGCAGGAGTAGCCGAGAGGGCCCTTTTGGCTCCAACGGTAACCCTCAGGACACAACCTCAGGAGGGAGCACTGAGTGCAGGCCCAGGCATGGGACGCTTCCAGGGGTCTGATGTTCAGCATCTCTTGTGGGGCTTCAGAGTCTGACATACATCGGGGACTTTATGGAAAGTGTGTGCCCACACACGTTCACACAGCTCCCAGGTGCTCCCATGCAAGCATTCACACACGCATGTGTGCTCATACTGCAGTGAAGCCCATTGCTCTGCTCTGTCCACTGCTTCTGCCTCTGCCCCAGGCTCTGAGCCTGATGAGTGTGAAGGGAGGGCAGGTGTCAGTTCACACAGAATCCAGCCCAGAGGGATGAAAGGCAGGCAGAGAGCAACTTGAGGTCAAGGACTGTTAAATGGAAGACGTTGCTGGGCATGTGGGCAGCACATACAACATGAAGGCTCCCTCCCTCCTACAGGACACACCTCTGACAAAGAGTTTGGGCTTTTCTTACTAAGCAATCCTCTAGTTCTCTTTGGACCCCAACTGGGTATCCTACAATCTAAGTGGATTCTAACTCCAGCCACCCAGTGTTCACACAGATCCATAGGCTCAGGGCTCAGTCCCACAACACAACAGGTAAGAATACTGGAGTGGGTTGCCATCCCCTTTTCCAGGGGATCTTCCTGACCCAGGGATCAAACCAGTGTCTCCTGCAGCTCCTGCATTACAGGTGGATTTGTGACTAACCAGCTGTAAATTGGGGTCCTGTAACTTGCCAGAATGACTCACAGAACTCAGGGGAGCATTTTGCTTGCCTTATTGGTTTACCACAAAGGACACAACTTGGGAACAAATGCAGGAGATGCCCAGGGAAGGTGTGGGAAGTGGTGCAGAGCCCCACACTCTCCCCAGGAGCCACCCTCTCAGCCCTCCACGTTCACTGACTGGAAGCTCCCTGACCCCCTCCGTTTGGGGTTTGAATGGAGGTCCATCACATGGGCAGGACTAGTTAATCCTGAACCATTGGAGATTAGCTGCGTCTCCAGCCCCCATCCCAGGAGGTCAGAGGTCAGGAGCAGGACTGAAGTTTCCCCTGGAAACCGCCTCCCCCCCACTCCTCCTGACTTGTCACCTGTCCGGTGTGAACCCAGGTGATATTGAAAGGGGCTTGTTATGCATAACAGATGCTCCTCTCACCCTTTCCTTCAGGAAATCCCAGAGTTTTAAGAGTTCTATTCCGAAATCAAGATGAAGACCAAATATCCATTTCTTTCTTTTTTTTTTTTTTAAGTTTCTTTGACTGCTCTGTGTCTGGGTGTTTGTTGCCACACAGGGGATCTTTGATTTTCATTGAAGCATGCACGCCTTTTAGCTGTGGCATGTGAGATCTAGTTCATTGACCAGGGATGATGGCTCAGCGGTAAAGAATCTGCCTCCTGAGTGCAGGATATGGGGTTCAGTCCCTGGGTTAGGAAGATCCCCTGGAGGAGAGCATGGCAACCCACTCCAGTATTCTTGCCTGGAGAATCCCATGAACAGAGGAGCCTGGCCAGGCTACAGTCCATGGGGTCAGAAAAAGTTGACTGAGTGACTAACACTTTCTTTCCCATTGGGAGTGAGGAGTCTTAGCCACTGGACTACCAAAGAAGGCCCTCTATTTTTTATTGTATTTTAACATCACAGGGTAGCCCAGGAATGCCAGGAAGCTTTGCACCTCTTGAATGGGCAAGGAAGCTGAGGGGCCTGGGTGGAGAGGCCCCAGCTGGTCACTGACCATCACAGGCAGGGGGCAGAGATTCACATTGAGGGACACCTCTTGTCCACCTGGAGACGCAAAAAATACCCAAAAAACCAGGCGTGCATATGTTGCTCAGTTGTGTTGCCTCCCGCACTGTCCGTGGAATTTTCCAGGTAAGAATCCTGGAGTTGGTTGCCATTTCCTACTCCAGGGGATCTATCCCGACTCAGGGATTGACCCCATGTGTCTTGCATCTCCTGCATTGACAATGCTGATTCTTTACCACTGGCACCACCTGGGAAGCCCCAGCAAACCAGAACTTGAGGCAGAAGTGAGTCAGGTAATGAAAGCTTATGAATGAGAAAGTCGGCTAAGAAAAGTGTGGTACCGCTGAATGCTAAGGGGCTGTCTGGAGGGCGGCCCACTGAGTGAAAGCTTTTCCAGGGGCCTTGTGTTCACACTGGCCAACCCTACACCACCTCTTGGCCCTAAGAGGCAAGGCTGTCCTCCCCTTCTGACCGCATTCATACTGTAGTCTCTGGTCCCACTCTGCATGCCCCGGAGAGAGCAACCCCATACTAAAGCCCTGTCAGCGCCATTCGCAGAGCTTTTTGTCAGAGCGACCCTGGCTGTGTGTGGGGGGCGGGGGTGGGGCAGGGAGCGTCTCGCGCAAGAAAAATCGCCCAGCAAAGGAGATCAGCTAGACCTGAGAGTTGAGCGCTGCCTCACGCCTGCTAAGAGGGCCCTTTCCGAGACACGGGCCCCAGACAACCAGGGAAGAGCGGTCGAACACACAAACCGGCCCCCGACGAGACTCAGAGGTCACCGACCCCTCAACACCCGTGAACCCCGGGTTTGCACTGCTTATCGCAAGGCCACAGAGACCCCAGAGCAGTACAGGCTCGCCTCCGGCTACCGCAGGGAGCTCCGCCCCGCTGCCCCCGCCCACCGCAGGGAGCTCCGCCCCGCTGCCCCCGCCCACCGCAGGGAGCTCCGCCCCGCTGCCCCCGCCCTCCCGCGGCCCCGCTCAGACAGGAACCCAGTCTAACCGCGAAGGCCCTCTCATGGCCCCGTACCCACAATTTCCGGAATGCCGCGGTTGCTATGGTTTCCACGGCGCCAATTCGAATCCAGTCGGCCAGAAACCGCGTCCCTCATCGCCGCTCCTTCTCCTGGAGTGCTGGGTGCCTGAGAGACTCGGCGGGACCCCCTCTTTCACGCCCCCCCGCCCCTCAAGTCCAATGCTCTCAGCCCTGCTGCTCAAGCCGCAGCGACGCCTGCGCTCTGAGGACTTTGTCCGGGTCTGGGCGGCGGCGCTTGCGTCACAATCTCCTAAGTCTCGCGGACACCCTAGCTGTCAGCCGCGCCGCTGGTGTAGTGGTATCATGCAAGATTCCCATTCTTGCGACCCGGGTTCGATTCCCGGGCGGCGCAGGTTGCGATTTACTTTTTTGTCCCCCAAGCCCCCGAGGGATTTAATTAAAAGAAAAGAAAGCCAGACAAAGGGAAGGAATCTATTCCAGTGAGACACGAATGAGACAATTTCGGAGTAACAAGCACTATGAAAAAGTGCTAGGACAGCTACGAGCACCGGGTGCTGAGCCAATGGACGCCTGTAAACTTAACGACCCAAGCTTGCCCCCGGTCCCTGCCCCGACGCCGCGGCTCGCGGTGGGCCTCCCGGGACTGCGGTGCCTTTAAGGCGTGGCGCGTGTCCTCCTGGGAATTGTAGTCCGTGAAGAGGGAAGGCCAATTGCAACGCGGCCAGGCCACAGCCCCCGCCCCCTTGCGGTGCCTGACTACCACTCCCGACGGGCCCCGCGGCTCTGGAATACCACTCGCGACAGGCGCCGCGGCGTCGGACTACCACTGCTGAAGGGCCCGCGGTGCCTGACTACCGCCCCCGACGCTCCCGGCTGTGCCAAACTCGCGAAGGCGCTCTCCGGGGGAGACTGGAAAGATGCTGGTTGCGGAGGCCGCCGAGCGGAACAAGGAGCCCATCCTGCAGGTGTTGCGGCAGTACGTGGACTCGGCCCAGCGCGGCGTCCGCGTGCTGGAAGTGGCCTCGGGCTCGGGCCAACACACAGCCCACTTTGCGCGAGCCTTCCCCCATGCGGAATGGCAGCCGTCCGACGTGGACCAGCGCTGCCTGGACAGGTGCGGCGGGAAGGTGGGACCCTGCGGGTGAAAGTGGGCCCCGTCCCGCTGCCCTGGACACTCCCGCTATTGTGGTTCCTCTAAGCCTCCCCCAAGCAGGATTGCAGGGGCTCAGAAAAGGCTGCACAGGCCACCCCCACCACGGGCTGTCCTCCCGCAGCATCTTGGCCACCACTCAGGCCCACGGGCTGCCCAACGTGAAGGCCCCGATGTACCTGGACGTGAGCTGGGATTGGAAACAGTGGGGCGGAATCTTGCCGCAGTCTCTGGACCTGCTGCTCTGCATCAACTTGAGCCACATCAGCCCCCTGAGTTGCACTGAGGTCTGTGGGAGCGTGGGTGAGCCACCCACCTGCGCCATGTGGCACTCTTTTTCCTGCACTGGGAGGGAGCGGAATGCCCGATCTGCCCAGTATCAGCGATGGGGATTCAGGCCTGGGGAGGTCCCGGGAAAGCTCCTCATTGCTGTCCTGCCTCCCCTCTCCGCAGGGCCTGTTCAGAGCAGCAGGACACCTGCTCAAACCCAAGGCTGTGCTCATCACCTATGGGGTGAGTGCTTCTGCCTGAGATGGGCCTCCCCAGGCAGGCAACCTTGGCTATCTGGGCCTTTCTGAACTGCCTTCTCCTCTTGGTATTTTCAGTTGCCTTTCCCTCCAGCTTCCTGTCCGCACTGAAGCACACCCAAGCCCTCTGCTCTCCAGCACTCCCCTGTCACTTGCCCTTGCTCAGCACTGTCCTCCACTGTCCCCTGTCTGGGGGCATTGAGGGGTGTGTCCTTTCCATTCTGTGGGTGCCATCCTGTGAGTGTGCACCGTGCCTGGCTGGGGACGGCTGAGCCTGTGGACAGTGGGCAGAACCGTGTCTCCAATCTCCACAGGCCTATGCTGTCAACGGGAAGATTTCTCCCCAGAGTAACATGGACTTTGACCTGACTCTCAGATGCAGGTCAGAGCTGGGTGGGTAGGGGGCTTGGCTGGGGGGGCAGGTGGGTCAAATGACCCCCAGGCCACAACCCCGCCTCCTCTCCTCATGCAGGAACCCCGAATGGGGGCTACGGGACACCTCCCTTCTCAAGGAACTGGGCCAGGCCAGCGGCCTGCTCCTGGAGAGGATGGTAGGTGGAGAGGACTATGGTCGCGGGCAGCCTCCCTGGGGACCAGGAGCAGCTTCTCCAGCCCAAGTATCTCCCCCAGGTGGACATGCCAGCCAACAACAAGTGCCTAATTTTCCGGAAACAGTAACTCCCTCTTCCACGATACCTGTGTTCCTGGACAAAGCCTCTGCCATCCTGGGCCAGACTGCGGGGTGTGACCCTGCTGACTGGGGATTCTTGACCAGTGGCCACAGGGCTGCTGAGAACCTGAGAATAAAGTCTTTCCTGCTGCCCCACTGCTGGTATCTCCCATGTCATCTCCTAGGAGCACCCCTGCAGGATGCCTGTGGGCAGTCTGTCTCTGAGGTTTCCATACTGGGCACAGGAGGGATCTGGCCTGTGGGTCAGGACTCCCGGGCATCCTGGACTCTGCTGCTCCCGTCGACCAGTGAGGGGACGAGGGAGAAAAGCCCCAGGAATGCTGAGGCAGGACTGAGCTGACTGCCTGGTCCTCTTGCTGGGGGGAGGTGGCACCCACCTCCCAGGCTGCTCACTGGTGCTCCCTTCTGATCTCAGAGCAGAGCCACGTGCGCATGTCGGGGCCTGGCCCCCAGCCCCCACAGGCCGTGAGGTCCAGGACTTTTATTCAGGCAGAGGGCGAGGGTGTGGGGACGGCGGGGCCTAGCCGGTTGGTGGGGAGCTGGGGCCGTGGGTTGGTGGGCAGGCTAGTCCTGGAAGCGGTTGAGCAGCTCGCAGGCCTTCCTCTCTAGCAGCTCAGCGATCTTCTTGACGCGCTTCTCACTGGCAGTGCGCACATAGCTGCCCGCGTCCAGCATGGCCACGCCGTCACGCACCTCGCCCATGATGACCAGTGGGCCATCGCCTGCCGTCACGTTGGGGCAGGGGCAGGCTCGGTCCACACCGACCAGCGTCACCTCCAGGTACTTGGTGCCCAGGAGCCGGAGGCCCATCTTGTCGTCCTTGAGCACCTCATCCAGCGCCACGCGTGCGATGCCGCCGCCACCCGCCTCGGGCTCCTCCAGCACCTCGGTGAGCCGCCCCACGATGGCGAAGTCGCTGCGGCACAGGCTGAGCGCCAGCTTGCTGCGGAGCCGGCAGGCCCGGCAGGGCGGCGTGCGCGGCACCGGGCAGGCGTGCTCGCAGCTCTCGCGGCTCTCAAAGTTGTTGCCGTTGCCCTCGCAGCCGCTGTACTCGAAGGGGTGGCAGTGCTGCAGCAGCGGGCTGTAGGCCCAGCGTGGCTCCCAGCCCTGGCAGGGGCCCTGCACGGCCGGCAGTGCGCAGGCGTCCCCGGGGTCACGGGCGCACGCCTGCTGGCACGCCTCATAGGTCTCAAAGCCCTGGGCACCCCCAGCACAGCTGCCCACTTGGAAGGTCATGCAGCCGCGCCGCTGCGGGTCAAAGTGCCAGAGGACCCGGCCAGATGGGGGGCCAACACAAGCCTGCGTGCTGGGCAGGCACTGGGCCGGGGAGGTGGCGGCCTCGTGGGCCCCAGCCCTGGCTGGATCCCGCTGGATCACAGACAGCGGGAAGTCGGCCCGCAGCAGGCCGGCGGCGTTGCGCGCCGTGCACGTGTAGAGGCCAGCGTCCTCGGGACGGGCGTTGTAAAGCACCAGCTGCCCAATGCTGGTGACCACCACATTTCCGTACATCTGGTCTGGCCGCATGATCAGGTTCTCCCGCTGGTCACTCTGCTTCTCCCAGGTCACAGCGGGGGGCGGGCGGCCGCTGACGTCGCAGTGGAGGCTGGCTGTGCCCCCCACATATACTGCCTGCGGGGAGGGGCTGCTGTAGAGGGCGGGCGGCACTGGGGCATCCCCGGGCGTGGGGCGGGCGGTGGTCTCGGGGGGCCTGGGGCTGCTGGGTGGCCAGCTGAGGACGTGCTTGCAGGGCACGACGCGCAGGCGCAGGCCGCGCAGGCAGGCCTCGGCGTCCATGTAGCAGCGGTTGTAGTAGGTGAGGCCATCCGAGGCGCAGGTGAAGCTGGGCTCCTTCTCGCAGCGGTCCCGGCAGCGGCACACCGGCTGCCCATCCCAGATGTCGCAGTCGGAGCCCTGCTGTGCGCACACGAAGCCCTCGCACGAGGCCGCCAGCCTGGGTGCGTCCGGGCCGCCGTCCGGGAAGCGGGCAGCCACGCAGCTCTGCAGCCCACACACGTTGGTGCAGCACTTCTCAGTGGCCGCGCAGTCCTGGGGGGCGGGGGGCACAGCTCAGCGGGCACCTGGATGCTCCCTCCCACCCAGCCCCAGCGTGCCCAGCTTGGGCAGGGGAGGCCTGCCACCCCTCCTTGCGTCAGTATCCTCCGGAGCCGAGTAGGTTTGCTCTCCATCTGGGGGTGAGCCACAACTGTCAGCAGCCCCTCACAGGTCACCTTGCTGAACCTCACTGAGCCCCCAGACCCTTGGCCCCCAAAGCAGGTGGTTGTTACTCCCATCGTACAGAGGACACGAAGGCCTGGGGAGGACATACAATGTTCTTCACGCCACTGCAGTGCTGTGCAGTCAGGCTGCAGGGACAGCACATCCAAACAGGGCCCTGGCCTCTGCCTTGCTGGGCCCAAGAACAGCTAGTTTCAGGGTGGGGGTGGGCAGGTCTGAGGACTGAGAAATGAAAGTCACTCAGTCGTGTCCGATTCTTTGTGACCCCATGGACTATACCGTCCATGAATTTCTCCAAGCCTTGATAATGCAGTGGGTAGCCATTCCCTTCTCCAGGGGATCCTCCCAACCCAGGGAATCGAACCCAGGCCTCCCACATTTCAAGCGGACTCTTTACCAGCTGAGCCACCAGGGAAGCCCATTCAATCTTCAGACACGTGAAGGCAGCATCTGGGGGTGTCTGTCCCCAGGGCCCCTCACATGGAGCTCAGTGTGAAGAGTGGGGAGCCCCAAGAGAAAATGACCTCCAGGGTCAAGGGTGGCTGGGTCCTCTGCAGTGCAGGCAAGGCCTGGGGCAGGGGTGAGGTCTGGGCTCCTCCGGCGCCGACCGACCAGACCCCCAAAACACCCTGGGCCCCCCAGGAGCTGGCCTCCCCTACAGCCGGGCTGGTGGGGACTGCCAGTGCTCACCTGATCTCCGACGCACTCTCGCTCACAGGTGCTCTGCGCGTCCACCCACAGGTTGGGGCTGAGCTGGTTGGGGCACACCCCCGGGTGGCCCCCAGGCCCCGGCGGCAGGCTGGCCCCCACAGTCAGCCCAGCCAGGAGCAACAGCGGCAGGAGCGGCCTCAGGGCCGGCATGAGGACAGCGGGCCCACAGGGTGGGGGGTGTGGCCACTAGCCCCTCCTCAGACCCTGCTGAGCCCCACGCCCTGCAGGCATCCACCCTCCCAGACCTGTGATCGGTGCCCCTGTTGTCTGCCCTGGGTTCCCCTGTGCCCAGGTCGAAGCGAAGCCCACAGCAGACGCTGGCCGGGTAGAGCAGAGTCCGTGCATGTGGCACCAGCCCCTCCCCCGCCTGGCCCCTCTGGTCAGCTCAGGGCAGGGGGCGGGGAGACTGGAGGAAGGCCGGGGAGGGGCCGGCGCTCAGGAGCAGAGACACTGGCGACGAGGGTCACCGAGGGGCGGAGAAGGGCGGCTCTGGCCAGAGAGGGGAGGGGGGACTGCTGTAACTGGAGCCCCTCCTCCCTCCAGGCCCTGGGATCAAAGCTGCCCTGCAGGAGGGGGCAGGGCTGGCCAGCCCCTTCCCCAGAGCAGGCCGCCCCCTGGGAGTGACTGTGTCCAGGCAGAGCTGCAGGGGCTCTGCATCCAGCCAAGGCACCATGGGATTCTACTCCCTTCCCAGCGGAGCCTCTTCCCCTGCTCCTTCCCACAGGCATGCTGGAGAGGGGCATTCGCAGCACAAAATGTACCTGGTGGGTGGTGTCACCTGGGCTTGCTCTTGTGGCCAGTGGTTGGTGGAGGGGGGTAGCTGATGTAGGACAGAACTCTTGCATTTAGAGGGCCCCCACCCCCACCCAGGTGCCCAACCCCTGGTCCAGGCTTCTCCTCAACTGGCTAACGGTGGATGCCAGCAAAGGGGAGTCCTAATCACATGAGTCGTGGACACTAGACAGGCTGAGTGTCTACTTGTACTGACTTGAGACTCAGTGGCCATGTATGGCCCTACGTGGGGCTGTGCAGTCCTGAGAGAGACCAAGGGCATCTAGGAGCACCCTGAAAAGAGTCCCAGGAGAGCTTAAGAACAGCCAGGACCCAAAGGCCATGGCCCGTCCCCTATAGGCCCCGCGACAGGGAGTCACCCTCCCAGCAGGCAGGAAGCCCCTCATGGGCAGGGGCAGATCAGGGCCCAGGGGCTGGACTACCCACTTTGAGACCTACAGGAAAACATCCTGCCGCCCCGCGTCTGACCTGCTGACTTGAGAGGCAGGGTCCCAAGAGCCTGGTCTGGTCCAAACACCAGGAGACACCCCAGGTGCGGAGGACTGAGGACAAAGCAGCCGTCTGCGTGCCATCTGCCACCCAGCCCAGCCCGTTAGAGCCAGACCTTCATTCCCTCCCAATGCAGCCGAGAGACCAGAGCTGAATTATGTTTACTGAACAAAGAAATGAAAACCGTCCCAAGACAAGCCCAGGAATGGTGCGGGTGTGGACAGCAGCGAAGGGTAGTGTTGATACGGTGAATGCAGGACCGTCCAGCAAGTGTGGACAGCAGCAGGGGTAGTGTTGACACGGTGAACGCAGGGCCGTCCGTTCCCTCCAAACAGTCCAAAGGGGTGCCCACTGGCAGACGGGGCACCCGTTCACAGATGCTGCGCCCCCCCCCCCACCTCACCTCTCAGGACAGCAGCCCCCGGGGCACCCACCACAGAAGTCCTGATCAAGGGGTCACAGGCCAGGGAGGAGCCCACAGGCAGGAGGTAGAGTTGAGCACCAGTGTGACCTGTGGTCACGTCACCAGCCAGGTGGACGGAAGGAAGCTAAGCTTCCAGCTCAGGCTGGCTGGTGGGTCCTCGAGGAGGGGCTCAGTGTCCACCACGAAAAAACAGGCGAGGAAGGTTCTTGTGACGTGTGACCTCACAGAGAGGTGAGTCTGGGTGAGGAGCAGCTATGGGATCCCACCCAAGGTCAGGAAACTGAAGCTGGCCAGAGTAGGGTCTAGAAACTCCAGGGCAAGTGGGATTGGCTCGGCCCAGACCTACCCTGGCCTCATGGCCCAGCAAGCACTGCCTGCCTACACAAACAGCTGTGTCCTCAATTCGGAGAGAGGCCAAAACAACTTCACGTGGCAACAGGTACAAACGGAACTGAAGGTGCAGAATCACACAAGGCTGCCAGCCCCCGAGTGGGGAGACGGCACGGGGGAGGGACATGGGGGTATGCCCACTTCCTTTTCCAAGAAACCTGAGACCTCTGAGTCACCCCTGGCCCTGATCCCACAGGTCAGGACTGTCCTCCAGGAGGGCTAGTGGGAGCCCTGGAAGCTGCAGCCCAGCATCCTGGGGCAGGCACACCAACCACCATGCTCAGAGGCCGACAGTGCAGCTGGGGGTCCCCGTGACCCCCGCTGGACCCCATGGCCATGCCCCGTGTGAAGTGCACTGAGTTCAGACTCAAGCCTGGATGGTGGCTCTCTTCCAGCCTCAGCCTCACCACCCTCCCCCAGTGTCCCCGGGCTCGTCCCCTCAGCGGCTGTGCGCTCACTGCGTGGCTGCACAGAGGCTTCCCTGCTGGTCCTTTAAAAATGTACAAAACGGGTCAACCATCCTTTACATAAATAAGAAAGGGGGCCTGGCCCCAGTCCTCAGGCCATCGCCAGGCACAGCCTCCTCAGGGCCCTTCTCAGCCGCTCCTCGGGGTCCCGGCGTCTTCCGCCAGCATCCGCACAGCATGGTCCCCGCTGTCCTGTGCAGCTGGTCTGGCCGAGACCACCAGCCTACCAGGTGCGTCCCCCATGCCTCCCAGGAGGGGCTGTGTGGCCAAAGTCCCCGGCACACAGCACGGGGCCCAGAGCCCGCCAGGAGCATTCCCAGGCTGAGCCCCCCGCGGCTAGGAGATCTTGCAGTTGCTGCGCGAGCAGTTCTGGGGGGGGCTCTGCGGCGGCCGGATGGACTTGGACCGCTTGAGGCTGTTGCCCTTGCTGCCGCCGCCTCCAGCCCCACTGGCCAGCGAGTAGGAGCGCCCGTGCATCATGACAGCATTCATGCCATTGGCCATTGAGAAGGACTTGAGGTGGCTCTTGATGGTGACGGGCAGAGGGAGCTTGTCGATGAGGTGCACGGGGGTGCAAGAAACGATGGCCCGGCAGCAGAGGTCCTGCAGACTGAACACTGTGGGGCGGGGCAGGGGGGGTATCAGATGATGAGGGGTCAGGTCATGGGGAGGCAAAGTGGGGGGTCTTGGTGGCAACTGACAATTTCGCCATCAGATGAGCACAAGTGACAGAGAAGGGGTTTGGGGACTGGGGGGAGCGGTGTGCAAAGCTCCCAGGTTTCCTGAAGCAGAACAACCCCCTTCTGGAGCCAGGCAAGCCAAGAGCAGCCACTGGGCACCCCACCCCCATCTCCTCCCCACCCCGCAGGGCTTGGCGGCTAGACCCCCCAAACCCGTCACCCTGGGTGCGAACTGAGCCCCCGTGGCCGGCTGGTTAGCTCTGCTCTGGTGGGAATGGGGCCTGGAACCTGTCCTCTGGCTGGCGGTTGGACAGGTCAGGCCGCAGCCGGCCCCGCCCCTCCAGGCCCCGCCCCTACAATAGGCCCCTCCCCTCTTAGCCCAGCCCTGCAACCGGCCCCTCCCCTCCGAGCCCCCTCCCCCGCAGCCGGCCCCTCCCCTCTGAGCCCCGCCCCCGCATCACCTCTGTTGGGCCTCCAGATCTTCTCCATGCCATGCCGCATGAGCACGATGCGGGACAGCTCAGTGAAGGACTCGATGACGTTGAAGTTGCACAGCGGGCTGACCTCGAAGAAGGTCATGCAGTTCTTCTCCGCGTAGGCGCGCGCCTGCTCTGTTGGAACTTGCCGCTTGAAGGCTAGGTGCAGCCGGTTCCCCACCAGGATCCGGGGGACTCCGGGTGCGTGCTAGGGGGTGTGCAGGACTCAGCAGAGGTGCAGTGGCGGGATGCCCCTCTGCACCCACCCCCGGCCCCTGTCCCGCGGGCAGGCCCTCCATAGATTCCGTGCTGAGGTGGGGTCCGTGGGGGCCCAGGACCCCAACCCACGGTGCCATAGCAGCCAGCGGATGGGGACGCACAGAACCTGGGCGTAGGAAGCGCTGCAAGTGGGGACCACAGAGGCTCCCCTTGAAAGTGGGGGATGGCGGCCCACGTGCCAGGGATGGGCATGGCCCTGGAAGGGGGTCTGGGGCAGCACACCTACCTCGTCGATCTCTTTGATCCACCGGTCAATGCCGTCAAAGGACCAGCGGTTGGTGATGTCATACACCAGCAGGATTCCCTGCAAGAGAAGTGCAGGCATTACAAGGTCCAGTTTCCCGCGGATGGACGGGGTCTTGTTCAGGCTCTCCCCCACATCCCTCCTTCCCCACATGGGCAGGGCCAGGGTCACTCGGGCACCAGCCAAGCTGTCAGGTGGACACGCAATTTACCCAACAGAAAAATGAGCTCTGAACTTCCTCCTGCGTTTAAGGGGGGCTCTGTGCACAGGGCTCACCTAGCCCTGAACTGTCTCCTCATTGCAGTCTGCCCTGTCCACCGTCTGGGTGGGGGCCATCTGACTGTCAGGGACCTCAAGGGCTCAGTACTGCCTCCTTCCACATAACAAATCCGCTGGGGCAGAACCACAGTTTTTCCATGTCTTTCCTTCAAGCACGCTGTGTTACCCTACTTCGTTTAAAACTCACTCCACCTGAGACAGGCAGGCGCACACAGGGCTGCGGTGGGGGGCACTCTTCCTGGGGGAACCAGGGGTGCCGAGCAGAGGTGTTTCTGAGCGGTCCCACCCACACTTGCAGGGGACGTGAGTCCGGGAGCAACTGCCCCCGAGAGCCGCACAGAGGCTCTACTGCGGAGACTTCCCTACCACAGCCCTTGGAGACCACTACTCCGCCCGCCTGGCGGCAACCTCTCACAAACCTCGGGGCCCCGGGCTCACCCCTGTCTCTGGCCTCATGTTCCACCCCGAAACAGGCTCTGTGAGAACCACCTGCCAGCAGGGCTCACGCCCTCCCTGTGCAGGGAGTCGCCTTCATCTAGCCCACGTCTCCGTCACACATGGGGAAGGGGGGAGTGCAGCTGCGATGGAAGGCACCCTCCATCTCAAAATGAGGAATTCTGAAGCCTTTCCCCTTGAAACTGTGCTTCGAATTAGGCCCTGCTAAGGAGCAGGTGGAGACTGCTTTCAGGGCAGGGCGGAGCTGCCTGCGGGTAAGGGGTGGGGGGTGACGCCCAGCCTGGAGGGGAGCTGCCCGCTGTGGGGGGCAGAGTCCACCAAAAGGCACAGGGACCAAGGGCCAGGCCAAACATCCGTGTTCAGTCTTTGCAGATACTCAACACACAACTGCTCATAAAACAAACGTCAACAGACAAACTAAACGCGTGGCCCCCAGGTCCCCCGGCAGTCAGGCGGGCAGGCAACGAAGACAGGGTGCACTTGCGCTCACCCACACTGCTCACGGGCACCACAGACAGTGAGGTGACAAACACGAACCCCAATGCCACACATGGGCAGTTTTAGAAAACAGAAATACAAACACACCACACAGAACAGACTTCCACAGATATGACCGCCCGTGGAAGGGCTGGACGGGGACTTATTTCCTTGCTTATGCTTCCTATGTGATGTTTTTGATTCAAGCATCTTTATTAACTTATCAATGTTACATTTTACACATAATATAAAAAGGAATCTACTTTAGTACATCATGTTAAGAGAGCAGTGCTCTTTGGGAACCTGACTGAGCCTTCACTGACAGCCCAGTCCAGGCCAGGTGCAGCCCTGATCAGAGGGAGCATGGAAGCGTGGCCTTCAGGAGGGGAAAC